GGGGTCAGGGGTGGCCTGGTCCCGCTGTAACGAGGACCCGGGTCAGGTGATGCTTTACTTTGGGGTGGAGGGCAGCTGGAGTGTTTTGGGCCTTGTTTCTCAGAACATATCTGACAGAATGTACAGAAACATTTTGTTTTTCTTGATTCTTTTTTCTGGTTCGTGTACGGCGAGGCCTCATTTCTGTAGATGTTTCACTCCACTCTAATAAAGAATCTGAAAATGACGGCTGTTGTGAGTCTGTGTGAACCTCAGCGCTGAAGGATGCTGAGCAGCTGCCAGTCAGAGTTCTGCATGGGAGCTGCTGCTCCTACCTGGAGACTCCCGCATCACTTAGCAACACAGACCCTCCACAATGCATCCTGCAGCTCACTGGTGATGAAGAGCAGCGAGGCTGAAGGTCATTGTGATGAAAACTCCAGTAGCGGGGGCGTTTGAATCACAATCAGTGTTCTCCACAGCAGCTGGAAACTATCGCTTTGTGTGTGAAACCAGTTCCCTCCTGACCCCCGCACATTCCACGGAAATCTGTCCGGGAGAGGAATCCATGTTTAGGGATACACATCATCATGAGGGAAAGATGGAGGCACATAAGATCAAAGAGACGTTAAAACCAAACGACTGAAAATGTCACGAGAGCTTAACATCACTGGCTGCAAAAAATGAGATTTTTTATTCTTTTTTTTTTTTTGGCTTTTGTAAATTAAAATATTACGGATCCGCTTTAATTATCACACAAAGATAACCTGAGAAAATAAACTCATTCCACATCCAGAACAGCCTGGCTGTTAGAAAACGTTCTTGCCCCTAAACCACCAAAAAGTTCCCGAGCACAGCCACTGCTGTAGCTCACCGCTCCCCACGGGGATGGGTCAAATGCAGAGATGAATTTCACCAGAGTGGGATGACTAATGGGAATTTAAACTTAATAACGAGGAATTTTGTCCCACTTTTCTTTACTGGATTGTTTTGTTTCAGACTCATTGAAGAGTTTTTGAGCATGATAAGGCTGTTCAAGGTGAAAGGTCAGACATTCTCAATGGTTTCCTGCTAGAGGGCAAATTCAGAGTTTCCATCAATTACCGGTAGTTAATTCCAGTGGTGCTGCCCAAGGGGGGCATGGCTACTCTTTGAACATTGCTGGCCACCCCACACATTGCATCTTTTTTTTTTATCACTTTGCGATTGCTCTTCCTTCGTTCCTGTCTTATTCTCTGTGCAGGTCAACCAAACTGTGTGGTCAAAGTGCAGCTGAATCCTAGAAAAGTCCAGCTGCAGCAGCTCCACTTTGATTGTCCTGGGGACCGTCTAACGTGTGTGGCAGTGTGAGCGTCCTGTCACAGTGTCCCGATTGATCATGCGCCCTGGCTACTTGGCCAAGGGGATGTCCCTTTGGCTCACTGATTAGCGCGCGTGACTCTCACCCGGGAGTCTGGGGATCAAATCCCACCCGGGCCCTCGTTTCTCCATGTTGCCACACATGCATGTTCTGTAATCAGCCAATGTGGAAGTTCAGAAACACCAAATAAACAAACAAGGAGGTAAATGTTTATCAGGTTTATTAAGTTATACGACAGAAACCACTGGGGGTGGACGACAGACAGACAGACGGAGGGACAGAGGGCGTATTCTCCACAGTGACACCCACAAAGTATACAAACTGCTCTTTTAAAGTGTTAGCTAGGGAGAAGTGATGAACAGTATGGACAAACAGTGATCTTTAAAAAAACAACTTTCCACATAGCAACAATAAATGAAAGCTACACATAATAAATAGAAATCCTAATCAGCTGTTCTGGTGGAGAAGCAGAAACACCCTGAAGTTTGGATGATGAAGAGAGTTCTGTCTGGTACCATGGAGCTGTTGGTGAGGTCTGGTTAATAGGCTCCCTCTGCTGGAACACAAGCCTAACTACAAGTAATCATCATATCCCCACATTCACAAGCCACCAGGAAGAAATGTAATAAATAAACATATAAATAAATTAGAGTTGTTATGGAAACCTTTACCAAGCAGCTGGCCGGTTGAAAGGTTGACCATTTACTCAAACCAGCGGTGAAGTGTCTTCAGACAAGTTCTTAGCTGGAACAAGTCAGGCCTTGAGATGTTTTATCTGACAAACGTGAAGGAACGGCTACGGTAGGACATTACGGTTCCTCTCTAGATGCTCTGGACCTGAGACGAGGCTAAACTGACCCTTATTTATAGTTTGGACTTAAAAAAATCGACTTTGTCTCAGGAATCTAGAAGTTAAAATCTATGAAGGACTCCACAGTCAGCTCGTTTGGAGTGAGAATTATTTTTATGCTGATAAGCCAGGTCACAGAGGTCAACTGTGATCCTGTTGCTATAGTAACCAGAAAGCCTTATGATAGCAGAAAACCTGAGTTTCCCCTAGAAGATTTTGGATCAACCTGCAGAAACATCTCCAAGATGTCAAACTCTGTGAGACTAAGTGTCACATGGATGATGATGATGATGATGATGATGGTGGTGGTGGTGGTGGTGAGCAGATATATAATAAGGATGATTTGCAAGCAGTGGTAGTTATAAGTGCAGCACTTGTACTATGCCAGTGCATTGATGAAGGTTAACTGGACTTGACCAGAACCGGTCATCTTCAACAACATTCTGACCCACGAGGGCCCGGCTCATGCCGGCGCTCGATTGGTTAGTACGATAGGATGACTCGCTGTAAGTGTTTGCTGACTGGATATCTAAAGCTATGGCCTGTTCCTTCTCTTCTCCTTTCAGAGGCGGAGCTTCATCAAGTAATCGATGTGAATGAGGTCACTTCCTGTTAGAAAAGCGAGGCTTTCTTCTTCAGTTCATTTCGTCTCCATAACGACAAGCGGTCAAACTCAGCAATAGGCATCCCAAACACCTCCTGGAAGTCCTCTGGGGACAGGTGTCTCTGATGGGACAAGCAGAGACAAAATCAGTGGGATTAAACTGGTCCCAGTTCTGCACGTAGAACCATTACCACCAGTTCTGGACCATTACTCTAAACCACGTTTTATACTGGGTTAGTTCAGTGACAGTCAGCAGCTGCACCCAAGTGGAGGTTTTATAGCTCCCAACATTCCTGATGCTCCCAGCAAACATCAGAATTATAGCAGCAGCGTCACTCAGTCCGCAGCACCTGGAGAAACGATACTCACTTCCAGCCGGGGTGCGGTCGACTCCTGGAGGCAGCCTACAGCGCCCTTTGTGAGTCACAATTAGTGCTTCATATGGATGAATCTGAACAGGAAGCAACAGGACACGAGTCATTAACCCGAACATGTGCAGCGAACGTGATGGTCTCTACAGATGAAGTCAGCGATTGATTGTTACAAGTTTACTGCCTGTGATGTCATCAGGGCAATTTGCATTAACTCCAGAATGTCTAAAAAACATAAGCCATGCAAACGGCACTTATGAAGAAGTCACGACAAGCCAACCGTCAGGTCAAACCTGGGCTGTGTCTTGTAAAGAAGAAAGCAACCTAATGAGGACAGGAAGAAACATTCATAGCTACCCAGGGAAGACTATTAAGTTCAAGCAGCTTTGAGAGCTGAAAAAATTCTCATGAGAAGTGAAACGTCTTCAAAAACATAATTGGGCGTCCATTTTTCATTTCTAGAAAGGGAGATGAGTGAGATTCTCCATGAGCCTCCTCCAGAGCGGCTCGGCAACAACAGCAGACAGGTGTGAGAGCTTCTGCAGCATGTGAGGAGAAGACTTCTGGAGGATGAGCTGGTGTCAAGACGGCCAGACTGATAATCTTTGGGGACTGGACTGCTAAGAAGTGGGGGAAGTCGTTTCTCTGTTCCTGAAGTTCTGAGGCATCTGGATTCTCACCTAAACATCCTCCAGAGGAACTCTCCACAACCACTCAGAAACACTTTGGAGAGGACCACTGATTCCCATCGTGATGGAGCACCGTGCTATAACGCTAACATCAGAACCAAGTGGCTCAGGAAGAAGAAGCAACAAACTTTGTGAAAAACAATACTTGGGTGCTTCTCAAAAGTTTTGTTTTCATTTAAATTTTTAAACCTCAAGAACTTGTCAACTTGTGCAAACCTGTCTTCTCTTATACCCGACAGAGAGGTCAGATGTTTTAGAAGCTGATCCGGGTTCAGCAGATCTCACCTTCTGTTCCAGGATGCTTGGTAGAGAGTTCCCTCTGTCCATGCGTTCTCTCCGGGTCTCTCCATTCTACACAAACACATTTCAGACACACTCTGTATTACTACTACTTACTACTACTACTACTGCTACACACACACACACACACACACACACACACACACACACACACACACACACACACACACACACACACACACACACACACACACAGTGTGCTTACCTGAGCAGCTGAAGGCAGGGACATAAAGAAGACACAAAAGTTCAGATGAATGAAGAACAGGTCACACTAAACCTAACTAAATAATTAACTTGTCTTTAAACAAAATACAATAAAAGTTTTGGCCCCTAAAATAACACCAAGGAGGGTAATCCTCTAAACAGATCAGGGGTAGAGAATGAGTTTGCTGCTGCTAAGCCCCTTTCCCCCTCGTCTGCTTTACTTGTGAACAAACACAAAGACTCCTACCCGGCCGTCCTTTATCTCCATCTGTGGAGAACTCTGCTGACTGCATCTGGAACACACAGATCAGACATTCAAATCTCACGTTTTAATTTTTTATTTCATGTGACTGATGAACTGAAAAAGCTTTTCTCCTCTAATGATTTCCTGTCTGAGTTAGCATTCAGGAAAAGACCAGCACCACTAAAAAGATTGATCTAAAACATCTTTTACAATGGATCAATACTCAGGCTTATCAAGATAAAACTATCTGAGCATCTGTTGTTTTGACAGTTATCTACTAGACTTCATGTGTGCAAGCCAAAGGAACTGCTTCCAGTTTACTTAATCATTTGAAGGATGTGTCCCAAACAGTGTTAATTCTCTTGACTAAAGATTTTTGTTGTTTTTTCATGATGAACTAATAAAGGTAATACAGTGCAACTTTCACATATTCTTAAATCTTTCTTGAGCCAGTATGTGCTAAAATGACCTTTTACAAGATAAAGAAATGTCACCCAGACCCCCACCGCCCTCTGTGGCCAGGATACTGCATTTGCAACTTCAGACTAGCGGGCCTAGATTGCTCCTGCAACTGAACCAAAGTCACAGGGCGTCACATCTGGTTGTTTAATAGTTTTTCTTTGCGTGGCGCTGCTATAGCCGATATGATCGGTGTTTGGTGATCTAGCGATGGTTTTTGAGGAAAAGCGTCCAAACAGACTATTTTGGTACATTAGTGTGGGGAAAACTCTAAAATACAACATGAAAACCATTTTTACCTTTAGCTGACCTCCTTGCATTATTTGAGTAACACTTTTAAATGTTTTGATGTTGTGATGTCATTTCCTGTCACAAATATTTCTGTACAGTAGATGTACCTATAAAATTTTTTCAATAATCATATAATTGTTTTAATGCCAATAGGCCAGTACTCTATCTTTCACCCTCTAACTGGTAAAAATAATAAAACACGCATTTAGGTAGGAAGTCTGGGTTTCTTAAAGAGCAAGTCACCCCTAAATCAACTGATTTTACTGGAGAGAGAGAGAGAGAGAGAGAGAGAGAGAGAGAGAGAGAGAGAGAGAGAGAGAGAGAGAGAGAGAGAGAGAGAGAGAGAGAGAGAGAGAGAGAGAGAGAGAGAGAGAGAGAGAGAGAGAGAGAGAGAGAGAGGAGAGAGAGAGAGAGAGAGAGAGAGAGAGAGAGAGAGAGAGATGAGAGAGAGAGAGAGAGAGAAGAGAGAGAGAGAGAGAGAGAGAGAGAGACGAGAAGAGAGAGAGAGAGAGAGAGAGAGAGAGAGAGAGAGAGATAGTCGAGGAGAGAGAGGAGGAGAGAGGGAGAGAGAGAGAGAGGATTGCTGATCAATATGTTTGATTGTGGACTTAAAGCCGTAGTAGATGTGAGGAGAGGAGTTTTCAGTGGGACCACCGCTGGACCTGGCGTGGTGCTGGCGGGTTCTGGGGAAGATGTTCGTCCTCACAGCAGGTCAGGCCTCTGCGGCGACATCCTTAAGTGCAGACCCATAAACCCTCCGGACATAAGAGTAATGGTTACTAAGGGCTGGAACTGTTGTCAACTCCGGATGGGTGGAAAAAGGGTATTTAACAACTCAGCTGCCCGCAGTCATTGGTGGGGGCATGATGGTACGGCAAAGATGCCCCGTAGAGAGTCATAACCATCTGTACCACCATCCTAACTGCCTCCTCATTTGGGGCCGGCTTAGGAGCATAACATGAGATGTCGTCTGGGGGACCCCCTGACACTAGCACGGGAGAAGGATCAACATTTTTAGCAGCTCCAGAAGACTTCTGGGACCGCCACTGACGTGGCATGGCAAGAGGCTTGAGGCTGGAGCGGCGTGACTGGTGAAGCCTGTGACTGTGGGGGTGGGGCTGATAAACCTCGGATCTAGGAAGGCAGCAAATAAGCAGAGGGTCTCCAGGGCTGCCGCCGTTGTGTTGTTAGGAACCCGCTGTGCAGGATTGCGGTAGCAGGTTTCAACGGAGGGGTGGAACCTCTGTGAAGCAGTGCATTCCCCAGAATGGTGACTCCTGTACCCTCTCCAACTCCATGAACTCAAGGAGCTTGAGAAACTCACCCGCTGGATCCATGACAATCGGATTGTACTGTACGTTGGCTCAACTCCTTCTTTGCCAGTCCTGTGTCGGCATCGGATTCATTTATGGCCAGATTATTCTGTAATGACTGGACTTGAAGACCCGTAGGGACCCAGAAGCACAGTAAGGCACTTTAAAAGTCTTTATTAGCAAAACGCTAAGACGTGGCATTACCCATGGAGGGCGAGGCTGGAGACAGGGTCGGTGAACAGGTGTGAGTCAGAACCAGGAAGATCTGTAAGTGGTTCATGGAGCAGGCGAGAGACCTGGTAGAGGACAGGCGTGGGTAGTGAATGCAGGTAGGGTTCCAGCCGAGGGTCAGACGTGGAGCGAGGTGGAGGAGGGAAACAAGGTCGATGATCCATGGGTCATGCATGAAGAAAGGCTGGAAGATCTACAGACAAGAGCGTTCAATAATTTGGCAATGATTGGAGAGTAGGCCAGATCTTATATAGCAGGAGAGGCAGGTGTGTGGCATGACCTTGATGAGGGGACCAGGTGTGATGAATGAAGGCTGATGAGATGAATGATCATGCATGGAGGTCAGGGCATGGCAGGATCATGACAGTAACATTTAACTTTCGATATGTAAATTGCAGAAATAAATTTTTTTTGTACAAGATTCAAATCACGACTCTCAAAACACAGAATTCAGTCTTCAATCTACAGAAACAAAAGTTACATGTACAAGACATTTTGTCCTGATTCTAGCTTCCTTTTTCCAAAGAACCAATGACAGGCTTTGTCTTATCAGACAATCATGTGTCTTGGATACAACCTTCTGCTCTAGTTCAAAATGTCAGTTCTTAGTTTAATTTATCTGTTCTTGGTTCTTTAGGAAAGGAAGCTAGAATTGGGACAAATTGTTTTGTAACGTGTAGATTTAAGTTTTGCAACTGTAGACTGAGATGCGTGTTTTAGTTGTAACTTGAAAGTTGTACAAAGATTTTTCTGTAAGTTATAAAATGAAAGTTTCATGTTATGTAACAAAAGTTACATGTTACAAAATGTGAATTACATGCTAAAAACTTAGTTATAGTTACAAAACATGTTACAAGTTACAAAACTTGTTACAAGTTATATTTTCCCAATCCTAGCTCCATAAGACACCATGGACATTTCCGTGCATATTTTGCCCCGCCCACGTGCTCAGAGACTTCTCCGTTTCTCAGAAGTTTGCGTGGTCCGTGCTGGCCCAGAGGTGAAACTGCCATTACATCCTTTGCTGTCCGTTTAAAAATACATCCAAATTACAGAAATGTTCTCTCCTGTGAGGCAACAAGTATGCTCTGTGTTAGCTAACAGCTACATGTTATGGTGAGTGAATTCCCAGGCTACCTAAAATTGTTGGACTTACAGAGTTCTCTGTGAAACAAAGAATACTGGTGTTCAGGAATTTGTTCAATTTAAAACTAAGCCATTGCTATTCTGTTCGACAATCTCTTTCTCGGGATGAATTTAAAAAGTAATATTTGTTGTTTTGTATGGTTAAATCAGATTATTTTTTCCCACCCGATTCCGATTTCCTGAAGAAACATGTTGTGTGTGTGTGTGTGTGTGTGTGTGTGTGTGTGTGTGTGTGTGTGTGTGTGTGTGTGTGTGTGTGTGTGTGTGTGTGTTTAGATCTTCTCTGGTGAAGTCCAAGGCTAAAATCACTGAGGGGGTAAATACAAAGCAAGTGAAGGGAGTCACACACACACACACACACACACACACACACACACACACACACACACACACACACACACACACACACACACACACACACACACACACACACACACACACTTACTCTGGCCAGGCCGGAGCGTGAAGGAGACTTTGATGCATTTGCTGATGAACCTGCTGAAAACCACAGAAACAGAAATGTATGGAGAGGAGCTAATGCTAATGCTAATGCTAATGCTAATGCTGAGGTGATAACTGAGGACTTACTGCTGTGCATGTGGGTTCTGTCGGGTAGTGACTGTGTCTTCCGCCTGAACTGAACGCCTTTCTCTTTCTCTTCCTTCAGGATCAGACGACCCAGGTTGGACTTGATCTGGAGTTTGTTTGCAGAATAACACAAATGCTCATTTGACTGTGGTAAGAAGCAGTTTTTACATGTATGAGGTCTTGCTGTGAAACATGATAGTTTAAAGAAAAACCTGAATAAATTCTAAATTCACTTTAACAACTTTGGTTTCTTGTGTGGAGGACCAGGATGAGGTCTGAACCAGTCAGGAGAAGGGTGATGGGGGTGTTGAAACACAAACCTTCTCCAGCTCCTGCTCCTGCAGCGTTTTGGCTTCTTCAGTCAGATCTTCAAACTCATCTTCCTCCTGCACCTTCTTCTTCCTCCATTCAATTTCTGAAAAAAGTTCCTTTGATGTTTAGCTGTTGACCAGCTTAGAGCTCGGTGTGGTTAATGTGTTTACTGTGTTACCCATGGCAGCCAGTGAGGGGGGGCAGGGCCAGTACTCCGTCTCTATCTTGGAGGGCTGGTTGGGGTCTGGAGGCTGAGCGGCGGGGAACTTGGCGGACTGAATGACTCCACTTCCCTCTGCTTGTTTCTGAACATCTGAGCAGTGAGAGCAAAAATAAGCTGAGCAACGTAAGCGGCAACAAACAAACAAGCAGCTGACAGACAACAGGAACCACAGCTCACCCTGTTTGTAGATCGGAGGTTTCCTGTAGATGTTGGTGCCATTATCTGAAAAATACAAGAGCTGATGATGTTTCCTAGGAGTCTAACTGGTAGAAGTAATACAATGGGTGTTAGGCAGAAACTCAGGGTTTCTTAAAGAGCAAGTCACCCCAAATCAACTTCTTTCACTGATTAACTGTTTTAATGAGTGCTGTAGACACATGTAGGCATTATTTTGGAATTTGTGTATCTTTTTAAAAAATATAAATATTCTGCCTAACACCACCAGTGTGGCACCCTCTGCAGATGAAAACTCTACACTACACTGAGTTTGAATCAGCCATTGCTACTGGCTAAGAGGTACCCTGAGACGTTGCTGGTACCGTATGTTGTCAGCTGCAGAGCCAAGTCTCAGGCTCACAAACCAATGGTTCAAAATGATACAGCTCAGGGTTGCTCGCCTCCTCCAAATAACCCTCCTACCCTTCCTCTCTGTCCTCTGGTGAAGGAAGTGGAGATAGCTCCACTTCAAATGACTGCTCTAAAGCCTGATATCAGGAACTAGGAAGTGCCACCTTTTCTCCATCCAAGTAGGGTGTGTGTGTGTGTGTGTGTGTGTGTGTGTGTGTGTGTGTGTGTGTGTGTGTGTGTGTGTGCGCATGTGCTTGCTAGTGGTTTGGTTCTCCAACGGAGAACATCAGAGCAAGAGGATGGTATTAGCAGTCTGTATGTGTGTGTGTGTGTGTGTGTGTGTGTGTGTGTGTGTGTGTGTGTGTGTGTGTGTGTGTGTGTGTGTGTGTGTGTGTGTGTGTGTGTGTGTGTGTGTGTGTGTGTGTGTGTGTGTGTGTGTGTGTGTGTGTGTGTGTGTGTGTGCGTGCGTGCGTGCGTGCGTGCGTGCGTGTGTGTGTGTGCGCGCGCGCTACCTGGCCGGTGGAAGTGCTGCAAGCTCGTGCTGATTTTCCGTCCAGCCTGCAGCTGAAGTGTAGATCCTCCAGGTGAACCACTGTCACTCTCTGCCCTGCGACCTTTCACCTGGAAAGGAAACAGAATTTGGCCAATGCTAATTTAGTCCTGCTAGCCTTTATGAAAAAAATCTGATAAAAAACTTTTACAGCAAAAAAATTTTAATCTGTGGAAGTCTAAGCTGTATATTGAGCGAACTGAGGTGATAATTCGTTTTTAAACATAAACATTGTGTGTGAATTGTATTGATATAACACAGCTGCATTTTTTCATGTTTTATTTTTGATCATCACAGCTTCTCCTCAGCTGCTTGAATGAAAACATGAAAGGTGAACAGAGATCCTCCCTGTCCTCAGAGGAAGCAGCAGCTTTAAATGTCATATTTTCAACACTCAGAGGAGAACAAGGCAGCAATTCAAGTTGGGAAATTCATCCATACAAAGAAGACAAGTGAAACCGCAGTTTTTGCAAACTGTGGAGGTCAACTTGTCTCCAGAGAAGCGTGGGACAAGGCAGTGAATCAGCAGCTGAGTGAAACACCGTAAAACAACGCCGGTGTTTGTTTTAAATCCAAAATTAAGGTCAAGCAACAAGAAAAGAACAAAATTGCTCAGAGTCTGAAACAAATTAAGATGCAATCATTTACACAGAGGCCTATTTTTTCTGTGGTAAATATCAATTCAGTCTAGAAAAACCTAATTTCTGGCTCTGCCTTTAACACACGTTAGTTGATAATAATTAGTGTTGCTAATAACATAATAAGATGATAGTGTTACCATCTTGTAGGAGTTTGTGCAAAATGTTCAATACTGAGAGAACATTTTCAAATAGCACAGGATTAAAAATAACTTCAATAATAATAATAACAATAATATATGTTATTTAAAGCGCCTTTCAGGGAACTCAAAGCCACCGTACAAGAATGATAAAAGTCAAGTTAAAAGTTAAAAGCAGCAACAAATCACTCACAAAAACCCCAGGAAAACAAAACAAAACAAGTAACAAGCAACAGAACTATCCCATAAATAGTATGCAGTCCAGAAAAGGTGAGTTTTAACTTTGGATTTGAAGGTGGGAAGGGAGTCGGAGTTCTGGATGACTTGTGGTTGAGAACTCCAGAGGCGGGGAGCAGAGCAACTGAAGGATCTGAGGCCCACGGAGGTGAGACGGAGGGACGGAACAGTGAGGTGGTCTTTAATTAAGAAGCGTTTCTGTTTTAGCGCTTAGAAAGCTCCACGCTACAAAGCAAAGGTGCTATCGTTCCTCAGAGGCAGGTGCATTACCAGCTACCCGCCATGCCAGAGTTTTATCATCTGTTATCCCTCTGAGTCCGTGTCGAATGAACTGGAGCTACTAACACATTTAAATGTAAGTAAGTGCCTGTAACACTGACAGGGTTAGAGCCTTTTTAGTGTTTGCTAATGGGCGGCCATGTTGAACTGGGGTTGCCTCCAAAGATGAATCAGTTGTAATGATGAGAACTTTCTGGAAGTTTCATTAAAGTTTTATGAGGAAGCAGAGAAATGCTGGTCTCAGTGATAAAGTGTTCCTTTCATGTGCTCAAGCCAAGTTAATGGGATATCCAAAACCCAGAGCCAGGATCAGGGTGGACCCCCACCCAGCTCATTAACCACACACCCTCGTCTCTTCAGGCAGAAAGTTGAGCAGCCTCAAAGCACTGTGGGGCTCGTGACCTCTGACCCTTAAACTACAGAATGATTTTGAGTGTGTCTGTAGTCTGAGTTACACATTTCATCCTCTCATGCTTCTAAGACGGTGCTTGATGATAAAAAAAATCTGAATTAAACACACACACACACACACACACACGTGTCAACAGGTTGTGAGCCTTTGGTGGATTTTTAGATGATATCAGATCATAACATCCTCGCTAAGTCATAACAGAAAAAACACGAAGCTCAAACAAACAAACTGAGTAATGTGCTGTGACAGGATGATTTCAGGAACAAATCAAATCATGTGAGTCTAACCGGGTCACAAGGTGCATGTTTTGTCTTGAGGAGTGAGCAGCTCTTACCTCTGGGGACATGTTGGGAGAAGAGGACGTAGGAGACAGAGAGCGCTGCAGAAACATCAAGAGAAAACATCAGGAAATGATTCAGTAGCTGTCACTTGTGCACTTCACTCTGTCACTGCAGAAATCATCATAAACAGGCAGCAGGACGCTTTCTGTTAGTGAACCGTTTCATTCTGGACACCCGATGAGAACTTCCTGCTGCATGTGTGTGAGGAGAGGACACGGCCCCACACTGTGAACGGGAGACTACATGTCCTGTGTGTGTGTGTGTGTGTGTGTGTGTGTGTGTGTGTGTGTGTGTGTGTGGTGTGTGTGTGTGTGTGTGTGTGTGTGTGTGTGTGTGTGTGTGTGTGTGTGTGTGTGTGTGTGTGTGTGTGTGTGTGTGCACCTCTCTGCGCGGTGGGTCAAGAGGAGAGAAGCTGAGGTGGGGTTGGTAGGTCATCAGGTCGGGCCTCTCCACCTGCAGGATGGCTTTATCTCTAGGCAGCGCTGCCAGGTCTTTGTAACCCACAACCTGGTCATTGAGACGAGTCTGAACACAGACACACACACAAACAAAGGTGTGCACACACACACACACACACACACGTTAGTGTTTACACCACTCTTAAACCCAGAGTGAAGTGTCTCCTCTCACTGTTTTACTCTCATGTTTTATTCATGTCTGATCAGGATTTTATTGTGGGAGAAGATGGAGCAGACTTTAGCTACGGACCAAATAAGAGGCAGGTAAAACAATATCTCTGTCCTGTTGTCTGTTTAAGACTGAAAATCTCAACAGCAAAACTGTCTCAAAGGGTTTGTCCTCCAGTGAGTCTCAAGTGACAGGATCTTTGACCAGTTACCCAAACCAAATAATCACAGTCTCGAACCCATCTGGAACCCCTCTCAAAATTTCAGATTAGGTTTGTGACTCTGAGACAGGGTGAAAACCCCTTTGGGAGGGGTTGCAGAACAAACTGAGAAAGAATAACATGAGACATCAGTAAGACCATATGAGATTAAAAAGCTATCTGATAGTCACATGACTGCTGGAATATCCAATAATAGTTTATCACTGGGCTGCCACTGTGGAGGACTAGATGGCTACAAGCAGGGGCGGCGTTAGGCCTGGCTACTTGGGCTCAAGCTCCGAATGTTTTATGAAAAGACTAGTGCGTGTTACGTGTGTGTGCGCGCGTGTGTTAAGCCCTGGATCTTCTTCAGTCCTAAACCCGCCCCTGGATACAAGATTGTAAACAATTTATTAAAGTTCCTCTGGAAGGCCCATTTTATATAAAAAAGTAATTTGCTCATATTTTGATACATTTGCAGTGGTCTCCAGTAGGACTGAATGCCTTGTTAGCCAAAAATAAGTTCTGGTGTGACTGCTTCCAGAAGGAGAATTCAGCTGGAGGAGGAAGTAGCTTCAGACGGCAGGATTTGGAGTCTTACTTCCTGATATTTGGACATCTAGTATCTGATTGGATAACAGCAATGCGACTCTACCACTGCCTTGGTTGATTTCCGGTTAACCATCCTGCAAACTGTGAACGTCGCATGGGCGTGTCGATCGTGTCTATGTTGAGTCCGTCGATCCAGACCACGTCTGCAGGACGTCCAAACTTTGCACAGGGCAGCTATCATTTTCTTACCCAATTCGGCAACAAAGTTTCTTAATGTTGTCTCAACTTGGTGTCCAACTCCTCCCAAAGTTGTCTCCCTCTTCTGTGTCACAGAAACTAACTCAGGAAGTGAGAAGAGTTCAAAATATTCTTTAACTGGTCCCTGCTGAAGAGATCAGAATGTCTGAACAATTTGATTTTGTTCAAATCAAACAAAGATCATCTCCATCCATCTTTGGGACAATCCAGCAAAGTCTGAGATAATGATGATGATTTACTGGTCATCGTCAGAGGGAACGCATAAGATAATTATTTAGCGGGTCTGGAGCATACAGGTGTGTGTTGACACAATGCAAAGGAAGAAAGACATCAGCAGTAAACTCAGAGAGTGTTTGCCTAGCTTTTAAAACTAAATAATAACATGATGCGATGAGTTGTGCTCACGTTAAATTTCCCTAACTTGGTTCTTTCCTTTTCTCATAGCCCTTACCATGATGCCAGTAGCCGGAGACCCCGGGGCGCTCGGGCCCCTGGAGGACGGCAGGTTAACGGGGGTCACACGTCCTTCCACCTGCCAGAACAATCAGAAATATCCACATCATCCCAGAAGTAATTTTGTAGTTTGAGTCAGAAAAAAAACAAACAAAGATAAGCACTAAAAGCACAATGTTTCTTAAATCTTGTGTTTGATTATTTAGCTGTACAGTAGCATTATAAAAAAAAGCGTGAGATTTTCAGTAAATAAAATGCTGATTTGTGTTTCAGATGACTGATTACCTTCTGCATGGCTGGAGAGAAACCTCCTGTTCACTTTAAACTGCTGGAGAGACACATCAGCAGAAACGAGTTAGTTGGTAACGGGGTCCACACAATCTGTCATCAGGCCCACATCTTTACACGAAGGAGTTCAGAGAACGACTCGTCTACATCTCAGTAACAGGAAGACTAATCACACGTCAGTTCTGCAGCTTAGCGTCACAAAGAGCGGGTTTAGGAAACCATCTGAACATCGTGACTGTGTTCAGTCATGGACTGGATTCTAGAATGACTAAAACTCACACCTGCATGTTGGTCATTTCTGTGATCAAGTATTCTCAGTGGATTCATGTGTTCACATCTTCAGGACTGTTCACTTATGATGATGTTAAGAGTGCCGACTACAGCCTACAATTAATGATTTCATGTCTTCTTCCTGCGGTTCCAGCCCAGGCAAACACGCCTGCTGCTTATTTGATCTGGAGTTTAAAATCAAGATTTATGATCTAGTTTTGGTTAATCCGAATTTTACTTTCAGAAGGATCTTTTAGGCTACTTGGTAATTTTCTGCCATTTTGATTTCTGTTTGTTTAGCGCCACACCTGGGTTTAGTTTGTAGTCATTACTCTAGTCAGCGATATCTGGTTTATTTGATCCTTTTCTTTAGCCTTTACAGTGAAGCTTTTCCTCCTGTTTCCCATCACATTTAGATTGTAAACACAAGATGTTGGTGAGAAAGTTTTAATGTGGAGTGGATTTTAAAACGATGCACACAGCCTTAACTATACTAATGTAGTTATCCAGTTATGATCCAGTAACACCCAGTTTAAGTTCAGTTGTGACCCAGTCATGAATCATTTACTACCCAGTTATGGCCCAGGTCTAATCCAGGTAATATCCAGCAACTACCTAGTTATGATCTAGTTACTTCAGTTATAACTCAGTAATTACTAATTTAGGTATCAGTTATGACCCAGCTTTGATTCAGCTATCATCCAGTAATGAATAAATTATGATCCAGTTAAAATCCAGCTATAACTCAGTAATTACCCAGTTATGACACAGTTTTAGCCCAGTTGGGACTCAGTTATTACTCGGTTATGATGTAGTTATGATCCAGGTAAAATCCAGTTATAAGTGAGTAATTACCTGGTTGTGACTCATTAATGACCCAGTTTCGAATCAGTTATGATGCTCTATAACTGCTGTCTCTGCCCCCTTAGGTTGGGTTACTTTTCAGAACAGCTGATAAGTCTCAACCCTTCAGACACACATTCTGTCCCTTGGGTGGAAGCTGGACATAATGACACATGGAGAAGGAGACACTACAGAGTCATACTGAGACTTGGCTGTCTTAAGAGCCTACTCGGGGGACGGCGGAGAGTAAGGGTGGGGCTTACACTCACCTTGTATTTGAGCAGCATAAGAGTGTGTGTGCAGCTTCGGCTGGGGTTGTCCGTCACTTACAGACCCTCTTCCCGTGAACTGGACATTTTCATCTGGACAACCCCCCCCCCCCTATCAGCTCCCCCAGCTGGGCCAACGCCCAGGCGCTCCTCAACTGTAACTGCTGTGGTTAAACTCCTTCTGTGGACCCGACCCAACTCAGACGTAAGCATCATTTACTTCCAGACATCATTTGTTACCAGCTCAGACAAAGAACTGACTTCATGTCAGACAGACTGGAACTCTGCAGCTTGTCCTTGCAGCTGAAACTGATCTGAGCTCAGTGGAAAGCCTCCTGCCCACAGATACCACAGTACAATTTACTACCATAATGTACAAACGCAGCCAGTCACACATCCCTCATGTGTTCAGTCTGTTTCTGAAAGGTGTCATCAATCCTTCAAACACACTATGACACATATGTCCTCACAGTTAGCTTAGCATAAATGCTAAGCTGTGTTTAATTATTACTCTCCATCTCCTTTTCTAGGTCTCAGTGTAGCACTGGGATGTTTCTTTGTGTCAATACATTATTTAATCTATTTCACTGATTATCAGCTTCATCTTTGTGTTAAAATTTGCTCCCGTTATAAACATATTCTGGTTCTATGAACATGTTTATGCTTCCTGGTTGTCCTGAGTCGTTGTGTGGTTGTCTTAGTACTTAGGTGGTCATAGTGTTGTGGCCTGCTTTGCTTTCTTTCTGCATGTGTGTGTGTGTGTGTGTGTGTGTGTTCTTGTCTGAGATACAACATGTGTCATCATTTCTCAACATGGGATAATATAAGTCTGTCAAAGGCTGCAATCGAGAAAATATAACTGTCTTTTTATTATTTCTTCTAGCTGTTATGATAATTGTTTAAATGTGAGTATGGTTCTTGTCTGTTGTACTTTTACTTAGGAGTTCATGGTTTTATTTTTTTAATTTTGTACTAGTTGCATGTCTGTTGATCCTGTTAGTGTATGAACTACGTTCTGAATTTATTTAGCATCTCTGAGTTGTTTCACCCTGTGGCCTGTTTGCTGTTTTTGTGCTGCCGTTCTTGTGTCTCATCATTAGTGCTTTTCGGGTTGTTGCTGTTGAAGATCTCTGACACGCTCTCTTGTTTAAAGGATTAGTATTGACCAGCCAACTTTAACACAATTTGAAACCGTTGTCCCAGAATTCACTTTAAATATCTACAAATTAGAGAAGGCCAGCTAAACCAGCCGTGTAGTAAAAACACTGTGTGTGTGTGTGTGTGTGTGTGTGTGTGTGTGTGTGTGTGTGTGTGTGTGTGTGTGTGTGTGTGTGTGTGTGTGTGTACGTTTTCCTCTGACAGCGATCTGAGAGCAGCAGCAGTCTGAGTGTCTGATAGTCTTATCACTGAGAGCTTTTAGCTGCCAGAAACTCATTGATGGAGCTCAGCTCAGTGTGTATGTGTGTATGGGCAACTAATGGGCCAGCTACACACACACACACACACACACACACACACACACACACACACACACACACACACACACACACACACACACACACACAGAATCAGAAAAGAAGATTGTTTCCCACATCACCGTGACAGCTGCGGAGTGAGGAAGACTCAACTAATAAGAGTGTATATTTATAAATGTGATCATAAATAGTAACACACCAGTCATTATGTTTTAGTAGGAAATATTGTTTAAATCTTAGAATGAGCTGAGTCATTTTTAATATCTCATTAATTATTCAGGTTATTTATTTAGACAAAAGTGGTCCGATTTTACTGATAGCAGCTTTGCACTCAGCATTTATTTTAATTATTTTAATTAATTATTTTAAAAATGTTTTGTCTGTAGACTAAAGTTTTAGACTCCTGGACCTGATACAAATCATACAGAAGAATCAAAGAGCAGAGGTTAAAGTCTGCAGAGCCTTAAGTTTGATTTAACAGTAAACTGAGATCAAATCAAAGCATGAGGTTTCAGACTGACGTCTTTACAAAGTCTGAAGGTATTTGATGTCCTTCAGAGCCTTTAGAGAACAAATATTTCCTTAGATTAGATTTTAATTTCCTCAGTCAAAACAAAATAACCCAACAGTCTTTAATGATGAAAAATGCAACTTTAACCTACATTTTAGATTTCTCTTACAAAACTCGTTTTTATTTATAACCACATTTAAAACATACTCAGATTTTATTGTTAAAGTTTTGAACAACTGATTTAAAAAATGCAAAGATTATTTTTATTTTCTGATACTTTATCCAGATTTATTCATGTAATAAATGTGTTTTTGAGCTCAGACGCTAAAGAAAACTATTCTAACGTTTAATTTTCACTAAATCTGACTGTTAGGTGGGATGAGCTAGACCGTGTAGAACTGATCACACACCTGGTCTAAATGAGTGATGAATCTGTACAGATGTGGTGATCCATCTAAATCAGGTAAGTTGGAGCAAAAACAAACATTAACATCTATCTGCAGCCTATAAAACATATTCTAATGTCTTAGCTGCTTCCATGTGTCGTGTTTTCCTGTTAAAAATCACCCATCCCTGAACATCCCTGTTAGCTGCAGCTTCTCTGGGTTCATTTGTGGCATAAAACGGTTTCGTTTCTGCCTTAAATCCGTTCTGTCTGCCTCCTCTTCATCTTTTCCAAACCTAAACAACATTTCTCGTCCCGTTGTAACATTCGAACGCCCGCCAGGAGCTGCATCAGCAGGACCTGAGGACCATGCGGGTCTGAGCCGAGCCTGCGGGCCTGAATTCACCTGAAACCCGCAGACCTGTCCCCCCTCTGGAGGACGGAAGAAGACCGAAAACAGACGCTGCTGAGGGTCATGTGAGGATGAAGAGGAGGCTGAGGAGACAAGTGCGCCTGCAGGCGACGCGATGAAAACACGGCAGAAAGGAAAGAGGAAGATGAAGAGGGTCCTACCTCCAAACGGCGGCCAGAGATCAGAGCGAAAACATCCAGATGAACCGAGATGCTCCGGTGGGGAGGAGGAAGACAGGGAGGAGGTGCGGGCTGCCTTTTACCCCCCAGGAGGAGGAGGAGGGAGCGGCTTTCCTGTTGCTCTGGGGAGGCAGCGCTACGTAACGTTACGTACCCCCACCCCTTGCGCGCATTCTTCCGTATCACGCGCTCGCTAAGCGCGCTGATATTTGTTGTCCCGGCTCGGTTCAAACTCTGGTTGGACCCTGCTGGTCCTGTGCGCCGACATGTTCTCCGTGGTGAGAGTAATCAGCTGGTTTAAAGCCGAGGAGGCTACTTTCTATTCTAGAGAGACAAACAATATTTTATGTGTCACAGAACCGAACAGAACTCGGTCTAGATTTATTCTGAACATCTGGCAGTTCATTCAAAACACATGAATCCAGATCAGATCCTCACTCCTCAGTAAAAAGTAAATAAACACCACATATGAAGGCATTTTTGTTTTTATTTATGTCATGGCGGATGTGTGCACTGGGCTCTGGTCTGGTTACGTTTGGGGTTTGATTTGCTCTCGTTTGGTCTCGATAACAAAACAGCAAGTAAAGAAAGATGATGCACGTCAAATGATGCGCAAAGACATGTTGCAGCCACTAGAGGACGAAATGAGTCGCAAACGTGTTTATTCATCCATCCACTTGATTAATTGATCAATTACACAAGAAAGGTGTGTAACCCTAACCCTCAATGCTTTTGAGCAACTTGTAAGGTACTTGTTATTTTCATTTAACTTTTATGTGACCAGGAAGATCCCATTTAGATTAAAAACCTCATTTTCAGGGGAGACGTTACCAGAATGGCAGCAGCAAGTTTCTAAAGACAGTTACAAAGATTACACAGTCAATAAAAGATTACAGAACAGGTTTACAGCAGCATAAATGAATCAGCTGCATGGAGCAGATGTAGGCCTACTTAAAGATATAAAAGCACTTAGTGATTTTTTTTCTCTGCCATTTTCCACTACTGGTGATAAAATAAATAGCCTGCTAATGCAAACTAAACATCTTTTCGTTCATATGAGTTTTTGTGTTTGTTTTTCTTTTATTAAACGTGTTACTAGTTGTTCACTGCAAATAGCTATCAGTTTTATTAAAATTGACAGCATGCAGAGCATATTAAGCATTTTTTATTTTTATACATTTAAAGCTTGAATGTCTCCTTCTGGGTAAGCTCTGTTTTATTTCTACTGCTTTTAGTTATTTAGAAACTCTTAAATGTGCGTCTCAAAGAGAACAAAATAAAGTTTTCTCCCACTAAATTAGCTCTTAAATGTGTTGTTGGATCTTTAAGATCTGACGTCAGGGGGTCAAATGTTATTACAGAGATTTACAAAAAAGAAGAGGAGCACTTACTGTTTTGCTAAAAATATTTTTGCCTTCTCTTTAAATCTAGTACTCACCGTAAAATAAATATATTTGAGACGTTTCAAAATACAAATAGTTTTGAAATGTCGGTTCTAGTCTAAGTCGCCTATAACTAGAGTTGGAAAATCCTCATATGTCTGTGCTGTGGCACCTCTTAACCTTACATACGATCTTTGGGAAGGAAAATGGCGTCGGATGACGGACTAGCCGCTCTGGTAGGAGTTTAAACTCTTTTTATTGTGTTTAGATCCTTTGTGGTTTAGATCTCTATCTGTGACCTGCCTCGATTTCCAGTCCCAAATGTGTTTCCGGTATTAGAACTCACAAAATGCGGTTTCACCGAGAAAGTAGCGGAGTTAGCAGCCTGAGCTAATGACGGCTAGCAGAGGAAGACATGTGTTTAATCAAAGGAGCATCAGATCTGAGATCTGTCAGAACCTCTAATCTGTGCTTTAAACTGGACGCGTGTTTATTTGGGTGCTGTGTTACTGGGCTTGTGACCGACCGCAGCTCCATCGTAATTTTAACTGACACCTTACTGTAAAATCCTTCTTCCTTTCTGGCTTCATTTCCGATTAGTAGACAGCGAATGTATCAAATGTGCAGTAAAATGTTAATAAAAATTTTCCCATCAAGACCTCATACAAAATGGTGTTTACTGTGTGTGTGTGTGTGTGTGTGTGTGTGTGTGTTCACAGAGTGCGGACGGAGCCTCAGCAGCTGCACATGCTCTGTCTCTGCCTGCAGAGGCATATGGAAACGACGTGAGGGCTCGACTTTATCATCTTTTGTGTGGTGTTTATTTTAAGCTAGGGGCTGGTGATAATCTGCTGACGAATGGGGTGATGATGGTCAGAGAAACTGAGCAAGACTTGTTTCCATCAGGACGGTTTTAGATGCGACACACTCTGAGCCTGATCACCTTGTTGCTTCTAGAAAGAAAAGAAACAACCCTGCAGATGTTTTACCTGTTAACATGACTTTACTCTCAGTTTTTTTTTTATCTTAAAATGCGTTTAAGTTTAAATACTTTTGTGTATATTTTTAGGACTGTTATAAAATGGAAGCAAGTGTGGTTGCGTTGTTGGGCAACTTGCACATTAGTAATATAAATAAAGAAAAAACTAAAACCCAAAGTGAACCAGCCATCATTTTAAGAAATCATTTTATAACAGTGAAGAAATAAAAGATTTTTTTCCCAGATACTTAAAACTACTGGGATTTTCTTGTAACTGTCACATTCCCAAAAACATTTGAAGCATCGTGCAGAGGTCAGTTTATTTCAACAGGAAGTGTGAATTGTTCCAGACATTCTGATTGTGTGTGTGTGTTAAACAGTTTTGTAGTAAAATCTAAAATCTGTTTTTTTTTTCAGCCACGGCTTGAAGTCATGTGGGCGATGAAGGCCTACAACCACGCAGAAGTTTACTTCAATGTAACGTACCTGTTTGTTCCTGACACACGCACGCATGCACGCACGCACACACACACACACACACACACACACACACACACACACACACACACACACACACACACACACACACACAAAGCAGTAAAGTAGCATTTATTATCAGCACGTTATTTTAAATAACGTCTTGAATAATAAAGAGATAATATTCTATTATTGATGTTCTGAAGACAGGATCCAACCCCATCAGATCGTAATAAACATCTTCTGGTCAGGTTTTGTTCAGGTAGCAGTACTTGCAGCAACGTGTGACATATTACTGTACGGTTCTGGATTAAAGAGGTTCAGCATCGGCTGCTGATCTATTGTATTGAAAAGGCGATCATCTTCAGATGCACCTCTAGGCATCTGGGTTGGACAGCTCAGAGTTAGGATGAACAAGCCTTCCTGATCTGGTCAGAGCAGATCTAAAGGTGTTGAAGACTTCCTGATGGTTTAGACGTGTTGCTGCCTCACTACAACCCTTTCAGGTCCAGCCGTCAGATGAAAGCACCACGTAGAAACCTAACCACACCCACCAGTGTCAGAACTGTTTTCACTCGGATTAGAACTTTGATTTTTACAGATAAACCGTAACGGTCGTAACGGTCGTGTTTATTCTCACATCACTGATCTGTGATTTCAGCCTTTCAGTACAAACCTGTTGATGCTCAGGCAGTCTTTCCCTTTTAGCTCATCTCGTCAGTCGATCCAAAGTTCCTGAAGCTGACAAAGCTGGACGACAACATCTACTCGAGCTTCAGAGAAACCTTCAAAGAGCTGGATGTAAAGCAGCTGAAAGAAGACGACTTGAAGTCTGAGCAGGCCAAAGAGGTCAGCCTGGTTTTATGTTTGCTCATGAGCAGCTGTAAGAGTCAGGACCTCACCAGGTTTAGAACCATCTGTAGTCCTGCAGGAGTGTCCCTTCAGGTGTATAAAGGTCAGTTTGTGTGGTTCTGTCTAACAGCATCAGTAGGAATCAACCAGGAAAGGTTTCTGGTGAACGTCCCAACCTTGGTGGCTGTTATCCTTGTGGGTTCAGGAAGGTTCTTAACCCTCTCGGGCTCAAAATAAGTTTTGATAAAAGGACGAACAACTAAGACCTTCGGGGGTACTGCGTATGTGGAGTAACCAGGTAGGTAGGTTTTAACGTTGCAAATCTGCAACGCCTGCCCCCAGAGGGTTAAGCTTCTACTCCACCAGGGAGCTTTCTCAGTCCAACCTCCCTCTGGAGGTTAGAGTGCCGGTCCACATGAGAGATGTCTGATCGGTCCTGAAGGTGTGAAAATGTCTGGAGATCAGAACCCTTTGTCCATCTGCTGAAGATGGTTTATTTCACTCTTGTTTTACATCACCTAGAGCTCAAAGGGCCACATCGACCCCATCTCCACCATTCATCTGGCGAGAGGTGGACCGGTCCGTCACAGGGAGTTAAACATTCACACCTGGGGGACAATTCAGTCTCCAGTTAATCTGACATGCAAGTTTTTAGTGTGTAGGAGGAACCCAGAGTTCCCACTCATGCATAGGGAGGAGATGATGACTACACAAAGGCCAAGGCTGGCATTTTAACCTGCAGCCTTCTCGCTGCAAGGCAGCAGTACTGCCCACTGCTCCAGCATGCAACTCATAGTAGAACCAGTAGCTTAAACACAGATCCCAGTTCCCCTGAAGTGTGGAAACACACCTTAAGAAACATTTAGTCTTTATTCATGTTTTAAAGACAAGTTTATTTCCTGCCCTTCAGGCCTGAAACAACTAAAAATACATCTGGGGACAGTAACGCTGTAAGTTGTCTACATCTGACTCCTGCTGTCAGGCTGACTTTTTAGCTGTTGTGGTTAATAAGTTTGAATCCTTTGAAAAATTGGAGACATTTGTTTCTGAACCCTCTTGATTTCCTATGATAGTAAAATATTTTAGACCTTCAGAATTCCCCGTTGCGATGCCTCGTCTCTGTTGGGTTTGACTGAACCGGCTGAATGACTCGTGTGTGCAGAGGTGGCGTCTGTTCTGTAACCAGTTTGAAGGACTTGTGGAGGACTTCAACTACGGCACGCTGCTGCGCCTGGACTGTGAAAAAGACTACTCTGAGGAGAACACAATATTTGGTGTGTGCCCCTCTCCCTGTCTCCCCCCCCCCCCCCTCTCTCTCTCTCTCACACACACACACACACACAATAAAGGATAAATCAGTAAAACAGGTCATCTGAAATGTTGTTCTTTGCCATTTTCAGCCACCAGAGTCCAGTTTTTTGCCATTGAAATAGCTCGGAACAGAGAAGGATACAACGATACCGTCCACAGATTCAAAAACCCAAAGAGCTAGCTCCTGATAAGAACCAGTCCATCCTCCATTCGCCTCCAGAGGGGCCAGGAACCTTCAAGTCCCGAAGCATCTCCTGATGTTCACCAGTAAAAGGATCAACATTCTTCCTGCTGTTGTAACGTTTGTTTTAAGCTATGTCTGTTCTCAATAGCTGCTTAAGTTGAACTTGTAACCAAATAAAAGACCAGCAGACTTCTGGTCATCAGAACCTTCAGAGAACCAGGAACATTTTAATTCATCTTCCAGAAGGCTTCAGCAGGAGGAAACATCCTCGTCGGGGTCAGAAGGCTGAGTCTGCAGCTGCTGGGAGATTAGTTTCTAACAACTTTCAACAAAAACTAATCTATTTTCATGCGTGGTCCAGTTCCCACCCCTCACCTGTGAAAGTCTGCCTTCTGTCATCAGAACAAAGATGTCCACCGTTAACAGATTTCTTAAACATAATAAAAACTGGAAGAACGTTTACCAGTGTGTAGTAGCAGTAGTAGTACTGTCCAATATACAGAAAACGTGTTTTTGGTCATTTCTTTGAGGCCTCGGACTTTGATGAAACCTCTATGAACTTATTACCACTTGTGATGCATTTCTCCTTCAAAAGGACTGCACTGTATGGAAATTACCTTTAATCTTCCTGTTTGTGAAGCAACATTCATTTCTCCTGTCCTTGCCAACACACACGTGTATGCTCCAGAGAAGCTCTCACTGATTGGCTTGTGTTAAAGCTACACAAGAGTTTTCACCCCCTAGCTAGTGCTTTCATGGTTCTTCAGCTACAAACTTGACCAACCTCCCATCGGACAGACCTCTGCAGACCAGAAACATAACTGTATCAAGGATAGCTTTGGGCTCTTTCAATTTCCCAACCATCGAAAGCTACAAGACTTTGGTTTTTGTTGCCATCCTTCCTTGGTAAATGGTCTGGATTTGTATAGCGCCTTAGGGTTCTACAAGCCCCTAAGGCGCTTGACAACACAGTCATTCACCCATACTGGTGGCGATGAGCTACGGTGTAGCCACAGCTGCCCTGGGGCACACTGACGGGAGGTGAGGCTGCTCAGCACTGGCACCACCGGGCCCTCTGACCACCACCAGCAGGCAAGGTGGGTTGAGTGTCTTGCCCAAAGACACAACAGCAGCATTCTCTGGTCAGAGCTGGGATCGAACCTGCAACCTTCTGATCACTGGACAACCTGCTCTTACTCCTGAGCTGCTGCTGTTTCTTCTAAGAGAAAAAAACAACCTGATAAAGTAAAACAACAAAGACCCTGAGACTAGAGGCAGGAGGCAGCGGTGTAAAAATCAATGATGTTTATTTGCAGTCACAATGCTTACACTATATGTAGCAGACATCCAAACAACTCAAACAGCTATTCACTCTATGGACCCAACACATTCACATCAGGGACACAAACCAAAACGTAGGGACATCCGTGAGTGCTGACGTGGTTAGAGATGAGCTAGTGTCACAGACAGTTAGCAGCAACATCGTAGAGTAACACGTTGCTAACACTTCTTTACACGGTTCTGACGTCTACTGAGGTTCTTCAGGTGCTTCAGACTCAGAGATCCTTCAGGAGGATCCCGCGTCTCCACGCTGGCTTCCCCGGATGATCAAGTCTGTCTTCATCACTGGCGCACACACACACACACACATGCCTTGGCTGTTTGAGCTCTATCGCAGTTTCACCAAGACACCACACACACACACCAGGCGACAGAGCCACACCACACACACACACACCAAAAGGACTCCACTGCAGGACTTTAATGGGGGGTCGTCCCAAAACTGGTCTGAGGAATCCAGAGTGTAAACAAAATGGTGGATGTTGCACCGAGCCTACCAGAGGGGAAACGTGACCCCAACCATGTTGCTTACACACCAGCAAGCAGCGGGCGTGCGCACGCCGTGCTGCAGGCCTGCGGGTGACTTAAAGGGATGTTCTGCTGTTTTTCTGCTGCGATGGCTGAACCCGAGTCACGCCCAAACTTGTCAGCAGTCACGCAGGAGGAATGAAAAGAGAGGGAAGTTGTTTTATCAAATCAGAGAAGTAATTATTAGTGTGATGGAAATTCAATTAGAGCTTTTAAATGACTAAAGGTCAGGAAATGAGCATTTAAACATGATGAGTGACAGCTGGGTGACCCAGATGTGATGCTAAAAGCTTCGCTCATCTACTCCCGAAGCTTCTCGATGGTATTTCGTCTTATTTTAGAACTCATATGAAAAAGTAAATAAAATCCATTTAAAAGAAAACAAAAATGTTCCTGCTCACCTTTTTGAACTCTACATCTGCATAACAAAACTTTTTGAGGATAATCAAAACTTCAACCCACCAGTGGACAAATTCCTGCTGTTTTCTCCTAATTCTTCATATTTTAAGTAGTTTTTGTTCAAGTATTAATCACAAGACATTAAAGCGTTTGGTCTAAGCGACTACTGTAGGATCATCTATGGTCCAGGCTGGTCTTTACGGGTCATTTAAACATTAGATGAAGCCTGCGGTCCTTTGATCCGACCCAAGCATCATCAGCACCACTGACGAGAAACTTTCAATTAGGATTAATTACTGATCATTTTATTTCATCTAAGTGGAGGATTTTAGACATTTCTAACCCGATTTAAATAAAACTGTCCTAACAAAATTGTCAGGAGGAAAACAGCAGCTGCAGCTTGGAGGCTGATACTCACACTGGGCTGCTTGTGAAGAAACGGTGCTTTATGAGACATTATTGCAGCATTTTATCACAAATAGAACGTAGAGGTGTTCTGGTGAGTCAGAGAAACTGCTCTGGGTCAGGATGTCGATGTTTGTTTGATAAACTGATGATAAAGAAAGAACTGATCAGTTTTTGGTATCTGGGTCTGTGAGCGGCTGAAACGGTCATCCTCATGCTTCTGTGGCTGAAACCTGACAAAACCGCACAACAAGCATTTTCATGTTATCACAGACATCCTGACTCCTGTGTGTGTGTGTGTGTGTGTGTGTGTGAGACTGACCAAACAAGAATACTGCAGTTTTCATTCATAATTCTCAGCTAATGTTCTTCTGACTCATTGGTTTGTCTGAATCAGTCCAGATGACTGACGGTTAGGTTTAGTGTCATGGTTATCAGGAGGCTGATCAGATGTTTCCGTTTTGAATGCACACACATCTAGCTTCAGGGGCTGGATGTGGTTAAAGATCATGACCGGGAGGGTGTGTGTGTGTGTGAAAAACAGCAGGTGTCCCTCTAAGAGCCACTGGCCTGCAGCCTCGGGACTATTTACATCACTTCAAGCAGAGACTGAGAAAAATGTACAACATGGGTGCTCTGACTCTCCCTTTCTGTTAGTGTGTGTACCTCTGCTTCCTGTTCATGGAGTGCTCACCCCCCCTACCCGCCCTCACCCCATGTCACTCACCTGTCCTCCCCTCCCTCCTGTGGAAAGCTCGCTCCCCACGCAGACGGACAGCTCGCACTAACTCACTACACTGTAAAAAGCTCAATCACACGTTGTTTTTGTTTTGTGTTTATCCTCAACTTCTGTGTTTTTAAATTCGATCATTATAAACATTGTTCAAAATGTTACGAAAAAAAATGTACACTTGTTTTGTGGGTTTTTCTATACAAGGCAGGCAGAAGCGGATTACTATGGTTACCGGTGTTCGCCCCCGTCGTCCCGCTCGGCTCCATTTACAGCTGCGGCACTCTGGCCTTCCTCTCTAGGTAGTTTAGAGTGCTTAGACATGCACCCCCGGCCCCCTCCAGCCAGACGAGTCAGACCAACGCAGACTGGCTTTAAAATAGATCTATATATATTTATATATGCTTATATCAAAAAGGAGGTGGGGAGTTGAGCCAACGTCGTGTTGGCGGTGAGGATATGATCCCTAGGCATCCGGGCCCAGGGAGGGAGGGAAGGAGGGCAGGGGGAGGCGGATGCAGGGAGGGGGGAGGCTGTGGAGCTTTTGGGAGGGGGGGTGAGGGGAGGGGTGAGCTCGCTCTGCAGCTGGGTGTGACTCTGCCGTGTGGAATGTCAGCTCATCATGTCGTTGCTGTTGACGCCATACGTGGAGTTCTTCATGCTGTCGTTGACCTCCCTCCTGAACACGGACAGATTCTGTGTGAACCTGCACAAAAACGGGTGACAGTGAGTGCTCCCACCGGTACAAACCAGCATCAGGTCAGTGGCGGTCCAAACAGGATGACTCTCTCCGTTTTTCTGCTGGCGACGTCCATCACAAACTAACAGGCGCACAACCCCAACCCCTCCCTCTGCTTTCCACCAACACACTTCACAGTCTCTCACCAACAATCGCCGACATTCTGACATGAGGAGCAGTTGGGGTTTGTGACTTTACGTACTTTACGTTAACAGAGAAACAAAAACGCCCTGTTGGACCAGTGGATGAGCCTAACTGGGCATTTACTGACATTCCACCTTTTCTACAGAATTCAAGTTCCACGTTGCAGAAATGACAGGATTCATCTTATATTCGTCCTCTGATGCCGTTTGGTTTCACTGACAGTAAACAGGTGACGTCACTCACCTGTCCCGATTTTTTGTTAGTAGATTTCGCTCAATTCCCTCCATCAGGTTCTCAAAACATAAGTGCATGGCTTGCTGCTTCTCTGGAGGCTGGCTGCTGACGATGCTGTTCCTCAGGTCGGCAAAATACTGTCAGACGTCCAGCAGACACAAGTTACACCACGCACAACTTCACAGGGTTGCGTGTGAGGTGAGGCGTCCATGCGAGGACTGTTTACCTTCTCGTTGAGCAGGATAAGACCTAACAAAGGCCGCGACATGGACCACTGGTTCCTGCAATCTTCAAAGATGATGATGTTCAACACGGTGGACAACATCTGCAGGACAACCACAGCAGTCAAGGGTCTGAGTGAGTGAGTGAGTGTGTGTGTGTGTGTGTGTGTGTGTGTGTGTAAACATGGCTCCAGCGTGAGCTGTCGGTCTGACCTGCTGGATCATCTCTGGATGCTGCTGCATGATGTGGAGGAAGCGGTCGTCCGACGCCATGGGAGCAGGACGCTTCTTGGTGGAGCGCGACAGCTGCTTGAACAGGTAGGTCACTATGTGGTCCAGACTGGAGCAGCAGCCGGTGCACACCATCGTGTCTGAAGCACAAAAACAGAACTGATGTAAGGAAACCATGACAACACACAAACTCAAAGTAAAAACACCCAGGTGTTCACCAAGCGCCGTGAGGCCTTCCGATATCGACGACAGGATGTACATGACGACGTGTGGCTCCAGGCTGGCGATGAAGTTCATGTGGTCTTGAGTCAGCACCTCCAGCAGAGAGTAAAAGGACTGGCTGAGCTTCGGGTAGTCCTGCAGGGAGGACAGCACGATGTCAGGGCTAGAGGACACGTCCCACGTTTTAATAACCCTTCAACAGCTGAGCCTATGTGTAAGTCAGATGGTTACCAAGACAAGAGTTTATGGTGCTATGAAAAGAATTAGCCTCCACTACAGATTTCTTCTGTTTTGGCTTATTTTGGTCTCTTAAGTGTTTCATCAGACAGATGATTATACCAAAGACAAGCTCAGCGAGCACTAAACCTAAATCTAGTCAGTGTGGCTCCAGGTGTAAAATCTAGAGGCATTTGTGTAATTTCTAAGTGCTTTAGCACATCAGAGCAGCAGAGATGATCCCAGCTGCCCGTACATTACTGATTACATCAGGAACTGAACCACATGTCAGGGTGAAACCCAGGCACTGCTGCTCAGGTGGGATCACATCTGGATATTTTTCTTAAATACTAAACACATTATTAACAATCACATTTGTTTTCCTGATAAAAACGTCCGAGTCCACCCCGGGACAAGCCTTGGTTCTGCATTCAGCGAACATCTCTGCTGAAATTGCAGAGCTGAACCTAAATGGCTGACAGAACTTGATCAGAACTTTAAAGCTCCAACAGAGAGATTCCTGGAGCTGCCACGGTTTTGATTTAGCAAAAAGAAAAAGGCAAATATTCCAAAGCAACCGTTCATTTGTTGGTCATTTCATTAAAAACCCAAAATCCCGACACCGTCTCTAATTTTCTCTTCCTGATCCAGAACGAGCAGCTGAGAGAAACTGCAGACGCTGGTTCTGATCAGTGCTGTGAGCCTGATCGTACCAGCAAGTCACTGTGAGGGATGGACAGCAGTAGTTTGATGAAGGTCTGCAGGGCGTTGTCCAGAGCGTCATCGCCATACAAACGGAAAACGCCAAAGTTGACATAGTTTCCACTGAGCACAGCCTTCAGCATGGCGAAGCACACGCTGACACCCTTCAGCTTCACACTGTACACCTGCTCCTTCGGGACTTCTCCCAGCGTCAGGATGCGGTTCCCTGAAACACCAGCAAGGGTCCACATTTTCACAGATTCAGTCACTTGGGAGGACAGCAGGAAAACTATGACACTAAAAAAGAAGGGAGGTCAAGGGTCCAAGTACCGTAGGTTGTGATCATCTTGCTGGTTTCCCTGAACAGCAGGATGCCGTTAGGCGACGACACGTCAAACTGAAGCCTCTGAGATCTGAAACGTTTCAGGTGGTTAGAACATGTTTGAGGTTATGGTGACGGAGCTATCCGCTTTCCTCTTTCATTCAAAGCCTTTGAAGTCATTCAAAATGTATTATTTTATTCTTGTTTCTTTTATTTGCCTCATCATTTCTTGCAAGTTTCACACCCTCCACAAGAGTTTGCACTCCGGCGGTGTTCTGTTAAAGTAAACAAAAGAAAGTATGCACATGCATATGTGCTGCAACGTGCAAGCTCTCGCTCATGTTGTGTCTTCAGAGATGTAAACTGAGGAAAACCACTAAAGAGACACTGTAGCTCAGTATGCTAGGTTCATGTTGGTGCTGCTGATAGAGGTGTCAGAACCGTGTGTGTGTGTGTGTTTCTTGTGTTGGACCAGACAACAGACGTGTGAGCAGCAAAGTTGATTTTGCATGCTGAGCTTTAACAGCATGTGAATGAGTGAGACTGACCTCTGCTGGAGCAGAAGCAGACTGCAGTGATGAGCGTTTACCTGTTATGAACCAGCTCTGCCATGAGCTTGAGAACAGGCGTCGTGCAGGCCGGGTCATGGTACCAAAGCTCGATGGCCCGCTGCAGAATGGGCATGTAAGCTGGATATCTACAGGGACGGTGAAGGACTCATTTGAATAGTTTCAGATCAGCAACTATGAGGTGGTTCCTGCAGATCTGAGGTCAGTAAGGATACATCCAGTCAAACAGCATCATGAAACTTGTCTTGGCGTTAAAGGCGAAGGCGATTCCTCTCAGATCTCTGACCAAACCCACTAGAGTCCTCTACAAGACACAAACAAGGAGACAGGGAAACACGATAACTTGTAAACTCTGTAATTATTTTGTTAGTTAATGGACAATGTTGTAAAAAACTGTTGAAGCAGAAAATTAAAGTCTTTGTTATGTTATATTATGTTGTTTTTAAATGAGGTACGTTTGTTTTTCTACAAATCTGCTGCAGTCTCTAGAAGGAATGCAAGTTGTTTTCTGTGGGAAAAAAAGCTGTGGTGCTCCCGTTTCAGGAAATAGAGGAGTTAGTCGCAGGAGGGGGATGACAAACCGCAGGATTTGGAGTTTTGCTCGTTACCTCTGATTGGCTATCAGCAACACAACTCTACCACTGACTCAGTTTGCTTTGCAACACTGGTGTTTTATCCCCACAAATAACACAAGCCTGGAGGAGTTCTGTCGCGTAGTGGAGTTGCTAATGCTAACAGTTTGCTTCTGCTAGCAAAGATGTTCTCTGCCGTTTCCTGGACGCTAAACCAACAACAGCCTTCCTCGTCACAAAGATGGGTGGGCTTATGAGTGCTAACTTTCAATGTGAAGCAGATTTGTTGGGTTTTTCCAATCTGAGCATTTCCTCGTCTAAAGCAAGAAATAGTGGTAGAAGACTATTATGTTCAGTCTGCATGAAAAACTCATTCTGAGCAATCAAACAAGTGTTCTATATCTCTCAATGAACCTCCGCTTTAATAAAAATTGTTGAAGCTTATTTATTCCTATGTGTGTTAGCGAAGGAATCCTTACAGATGATACACAAAGGCACTATGAATATAAAATGACCAAAGTGTGTTTGTTAGAACTAATTAAATTGTTGATTTGTGCCTATAGATGAAACAAAATTAAAGTGTGTGTGTGTGTGTGTGTGCGTTAGATGAATACTCACCTTTGCTTCCTGCTCGTTGAATGTGTTTGTACTCAACATTTGAGCTACAGCTTCAAACGCAGCTGTTAGAGGCAACATGAACTGCTCAAACTGGTCCTCATCCTCACCTACACACACACACACACACATGCACACGCGCGCACACACACACATCAGCTTTAGCAGAATATATGAAACATTTAGAGGTAACGTTAATTTTTAAGTATTTCTATGTAAAAGTTATAACTTACCTAGACAGCCTTCTGTGAGACTGATGGGCTAACCACTAGCCTGAGTGGAGCAAAAGCCAAAGTGCTTTTTTTGGTAATTATTTAACAGCTCCTAAATTTCATTGCAGTTTGTGACATTATTTGATAATCCATTAAAAAGTCCTTAATCTGGGATTACACAATGGTTTACAGTAGGGATGTGTATTGGTGAAATTCTGGCGATACGATGCGTATGACGTTTTTACCCCGAGTCTAAATGCTGACAGTGTTTGTCCTGAGGACGTTTATATTTCTGATCACCATTGCATTTTCTTTAACTTGTCAGTTTCTGCGTCCCCACCTCCTGCTCGCCGTCTGGTTAGTTCTTGTTTTCTTAATGAGAGCACAGCTAGCAATTTTTCTGCTGCTTTTGATCCACCCTGTTCTTCTGATAAAGACCCAGATTCCTTAACTTCTCACTTTAACGAGCACTGCCTCTCCATTCTGGACAACATCTGTCCTGTCAGAACCAGATCAGTCCCTGCAGTGAACCCTACTCCCTGGTTTAATGACAGCCTTCGCAGCCTGAAGCGCCAATGCAGAAAAATTGAGTGTTTGTGGAAGAAAACCCATCTCCACGTCCATCTGCTGCACCTAAAGGATCTTCTGACATCCTTTAACTCTGCAGTCAGAGACGCCAGGGTTTCCTATTTCTCCAACCTGGTGTCTTAGAGCAAAGGGAACCCTAAGGTGCTATTCAACACCATCAGCAGCATCGTCTCTCCTGCCTCTCCTACAGCCTCCATCCACTCTGTTGCAGACTGTGAGAACTTTCTGTCTTTCTTTGTGGACAAAGTCAATAAGGTCAGATCAGATCTAGCATCTCTCCCTCAGCGTTATCTCTGCCTCTCCCGACTCCAACCAGGCCCATCATCCTAGATAGCTTTGCTCCTGTTTCTTTGCCTGAGTTAACCAAACTAGTTAACTCTATGAAGACCTCTGCATGCCCCCTCAACACCTTACCCTCATCTTTGTTTAAAAGTGCTTTTCAGTCCATCGGTCCCAGCGTGCTCTCTATAATTAATGCTTCTCTGGTTTCTGGTCAGGTCCCTGCTTACTTTAAGAACGCTGTAATCCACCCGCTTCTTAAAAAACCAAGTTCGATAAATAAAACTGGGCTGATATTAACAACCTGGGTCTCTAATGACCTTCTGACTCACAGTGATGCAGGGGACTGTTCTGTTCTGGTCCTGCTGGACCTGACTGCAGCCTTTGACATTGTTGACCATCACCTGCTACTGAAGAGGCTGAGAGACTGGGTAGGCTCATCAGGAACTGCTCTGGAGTGGTTCTCCTTTTATCTTTCTGAGCGCTCCTTTTCTGTGGCCGTCTCCAAGTTTAGGTCCTCCACCACCTCTCTTACCCATGGTGTTCCACAAGGTTCTGTGCTGGGGCCTCTGCTCTTCCTCCTCTATCTGCTTCCTCTTCAGCACATCCTGAACTCCTTCAAAGGAATCTCCTACCATCTTTATGCAGATTACATCCAACTGTACATCTCCTTTAAGCCCCATGAGATGTCTAAGCTGCAGCTGTTACACACCTGCTTAGACTCTATCAAAACCTGGATGGCTGGGAGCTTTCTTCAGCTGAATGAAGATAAGACTGAGATCCTCATCTGTGCCCCAGACAAGCTGGTCCCCAAAGTCAGAGACTCTCTTGGTCAGCTTGCTTCCCACACCAAACCTTCTGTCAGGAATCTTGGCGTGACCTTTGACCCAGCTCTCACCCTGGATTCTCATGTCAGTTCTCTTGTTCGCTCTTCCTTCTTCCATCTCAGGAACATTGCCAAGCTGAGTCCCATTCTGTCCCGCTCTGAACTTGAGACAGTTATCCACACCTTCATCTCCTCACGCTTAGACTACTGTAACTCTCTTTTCACGTGTCTGAGCAGAACCTCCCTGAACCGTCTACAGGTGGTTCAGAACGCCTGTGCTCGACTTCTGACCAAGTCCTCCAAACACACCCACATCACCCCGCTTCTCCTCCAGCTTCACTGGCTGCCAGTCAACTTCAGGGTTCATTTCAAGATCCTGGTTCTGGTCTATAGGGCCTTACATGGACAAGCACCATCTTACATTGGTGATCTTCTTAGTCCCTACACCCCCAGCAGGTCCCTGAGGTCCAGTGATCAAAGCCTACTGGTTGTGCAGCACCAGGCTAAAGACCAAAGGTGACAGATCATTTGCTGCTGTGGCCCCCAGACTCTGGAACTCTCTCCCCCTGAGCCTGAGATCAGTGGACTCAGTAGTCTCCTTTAAAAAGCAGCTGAAGACTCACTTGTTCAAAGTGGTTTTTGTATGACCTTCATCACCACCCTCTCTTTATTCTGCTCTCCCCACCTATTCCACCTTCCTCAGGATCCACTGATTTCCCTTTTTCCTGTTCACTCTCTCTCTTTCTTAACATTTTTTTAATCACAATTGTCTATTTTTGCTCATTTTAACATATTTTTAAACATTTTCTAAATGCTTTTTTATATTTTTACATTTTTTGTTTTTGTGAAGCGCCTCGTGATTTTTATCTTGAGAGGCGCTATAGAAATTATATTTTCTTCTTCTATGACGATACAGGGCAGACGATACAATGAATCGTGATAAATTGCGATACATTCAGCCAGATGATATTAGCCACTTTTTAAAATTGAATTTATTGTAAGAAAATTCAATAAACAGTCCAAGCTGATACGTAACATGTTTAACATGAGGTATCTGAACCATAACAGAGGGATTTACATTTCAGTGGTGGAAACAAAACCCGTTGCACACTGCTGCCAACTAGAGGTCGGCGTTTGATATCAAAAGCTACAGCTAAATGCTGCTATTCTGGGTGCACTCAGAACTAAAGTCTGACAGGAAGTACTTAATAAAAGTTTAGTGTTGAGTGGACTTTGGTGCAAAAATGTACAAAGTCATATCTGAGTGAACTGCTGTGACATTTATGAGATTGGGGGTGTTTTAAGATGGCAGCAACACACTTTGGTCTGAGCTGCACTTGAGCCTAGTCATTATTTAGCAGTCCCAAAGGGCATGAGCTCTATTTCTCTGTACCGCTTAGGTAAGGTGGTGATTATTTATAACTTTTACACAGAAACACACTTGCAGAGGCCCTGGGTGTGTGTTTACCTAAATCGACCATCAGCAGGCGTCCCAACGCCGTGTAGAAGGTGGTCCGACATCTCATGTCACTCAGGTTGGACTGGTTGTTCACCCCCAAGAAGGAGAAGTGTTCACTCTGTCATGACAACACAAAAACAATAACATGTCTTATACAGAGTAGACCGTGTTTTATTAAAGCACCAGTTCAACCAGACTTTTAGCAGAAATAGAAGAGCAAGTCTTTTTGTTATCGTTCTAACCTTCATTTAACTGATCCTAGCTGTGATATTTATCATTATGTGACTTATCACAGAGCTTTCCTTTGGCTTTTATCCCATTTGAATGAGTTTTATTGTCACTGTTAGAAAGTATATCTGGTTTTGGTATTTATATTATTTATAGTTATAACAAAATTACAGATTTAATACGTTAGCTCTCCGAAGAAACATCTCCTTTGATTCATTTGGTTTCTTCAACTCCACTCTTTTTACCATATAATCCTTTTTATTTGATGTGTGTGTGCATACATGTAGGGGTGCACGACATATCGGCACCAATATCTATATCGATTCAATAAGTAAAACTGGGTTGATATTAAAAACCGATATATTTTCCAGCTTGTTTACATTTGTGTATCTGTTTCAGAGGGTGATGGTGTGTAATTGTTTAGTCATGTGACAGTAATATAATAATCTCAGTAGCATAAAAGTGTCTAACGCACGCACGCACACACACACACACACACACACACACACACAATCTAGTTTGCACTTTATAAAAATAAAACAAGACATGTAAAAATTCAGCTTACATAATTTTCAGTCCATACAACATCTGCTGATTTCAGAAGCATTTATGTCGGCGTGTTTTAAAGCAAAGCTTGATCAGTTGAGTGGTTGATAAACCCCAACCTGGAGCTCTGAACTGGCTGCAGCTTTGTTATGCTGTGAAACACTCACCGTGTGGTTGTTCAGCATGAACTGAACAGCGCTGAGCTTCACCAGCTTCCTCACACTGCTGTACGTACACAGGAAGGTCAAGGAGAAAACACACACCTATCTCTTTATAGACAAGACAGACAGACAGATAAAAACATATTAAAGGATTTTTGAACTAGCTAGCGGTAGATTAACCCCCTTTGTTGGTACAACATGATGTTCAGATTAATCTTCACACAACAGGAAACACACACACACACACACACACACACACACACACACACACACACACACACACACACACACACACACACACACACACACACACACACACACACAGAGGATATCCTAACGAGAGGTCGTTCAGCAGCTGGAGTGTCTTAGAGGTGATTGGTTCACACTGGCCCCAGTACTTCAGGTTTGTGATGCTGAGAAGAGGAAAAAAACAACAACAAAGCACTGAGAATCCCTTCATCAATAATGACTAAATTATTATCGCGTCCTAGTTTCAAAAGTCTAACTAAACCATGTTCCATTAACTTGAACCGTTGAAACACAAAGTTGTTTAGTTCTGTGATTCCAACACACACACACGCACGCACGCACGCACACACACGCACACACACACACTTACATTTTCCCAATAAAGACACTGAGTACCATGGTTTCATCGTTCAGCCCCAGAACCTCTGATAGTCGTCGATAAAGCTGGAACACATAGACATGGATGAAGTAGACCGCACTCATAGCAGCAGAGGACTGATCACATGCTGGATCTACTACACACTCATTACATCTCCCTAATGTGCTTTGATAGACAGACGTTAAAATAATTTGGTGGTTTTCTTAGGTGGCAACTTTTTATCCATTTGATTTTACTAGTTATGTCACCTTAACATCCAAGAAAACTACTAAATTATTAGTTTTTTTTAATAGGGATGTAAGAAAATATCGATATGGCAATATATCGTGATTTTTTTCCAGCGATAATATATCGATATTCAAAAGCTGTGTATCAGATTTTTGGAAGAATTTACATGCAAACATTTGTGTATTTTCTTTTGTTTTGGTGCAATTCAAACGCTGACTGATAGTTGGCAGCAGTGTGCAACGGGTTTTGTTTCCACCACTGAAATGCAAATCCCTCTATTATGGTTCACATACCTCATGTTAAACATGGTATGTATCAGTTTGGACTGTTTATTGAATTTTCCCAAAATAAATTCAGTCTAAAAAAATCGCTAACAACATCTGACTGAATGTATCGCAATATGTCGTGATACATATCATATCGCCAAAATTTCACCAATACACATCCCTAGTTTTTATTAATATGTAGCTTTATGATGTGTGTCTCACAACAGGTTACTAAACTGAGTCTAACTCCAAACTGTTTCTAGTTTCCTCCACTTATCTGACTGGTTGACTTTTGCAGTAAGAGCCTTAAACAAAAGAATAAAGTGGATTGGTATGAAGCTCAGGGGCAGCCAGGCAGCGTGCTCCTCTGCAGAGCTCACCTTTGATGACTTTTGAACCTGATCACCGATGTAGATCTTTCTGAACTGTTCAAAGAAGCTGAGCATGGCCAGCTCCAGCCTCTCGTTTCCAGCCTGAGCGAGCCGCGAGTCTGTGAGGTTCATCAGCTGCAGCACCCTGACAGAAACAAAATCCCCGTCAGTGCAGATGAGCGACTGAGTGATTCTGATCAGGTCAACATCAATAAAACATGAGTGACCCTGCTGTTTTGGCTTCTTCGTTTTTTGACTCATTCTGACAAACTTCCCTTGTTTCTGAGTTTTTACAAAAAAATGTTAAAAAATCCATTTGAAGAACATTCTCTTGGGATGTTGCGATGCTTACCGACAGACTAACTCCCCATCCATGGCGTCCTGCTCGTCTGTGCTAGCAAAAGACACCCGTCCACCAATCACCGCCCCGATGATATAAACCAACCACGTCAACCGTCCTGCACACAGATCCCAGTGTTAACACACACGCCCACTGCTCTGCTGCAGGGTGAGCGTGGGCTCAGCGTACCTTCTTGTACCGTGACGTCCACGGCGCTGGAGTTAGTGGACTGCAGGAGCTCCTGGTATGTCTGTGCTGCCTGATCAAATAGCTGCACTAGTAGTGCACACGTCTTCTCATATTCACACCTGCCAATGGTGGACAACTGGTCCAACTGCTGCTGGACGAGGCCAGCATCATCCAGAGGGTCTTCTAAGCCGTCTCTGTAGAGAGAACAGATTCATTCATTCCCCCCCCCTACTGGTTTTATTAATCTGTCTCAGATTAAAGAAGCAAATAATCCCAACTCACTAGATGATCAGCAGCTATGCAGAGAAACAATGCTGCTGTTAGTTACTTGTGTGAATTTTTAACTGACAAAAGAAACAAACATTTATAGTTTCATGTGATAGTGGCTGAGATGATTCACACAATGCAGAAAATATCCTGTGTGTCTGAGGTTATTGAAGAGACGGTGCAGAGCGGCATGGCAGAAAGACAAGTGTGTGTGTGGTAGACTATAGTGGTGTTTTATTTTGCTCCTTTATGATCAACTCATTCACTGCCAGCCGTTTCCTGATCGGTAAAACCCTTCGCTGCCAGTGTTTCTCGCCATTTTTACAGTTTTTTTAAGAGTCATAGAACGTTGCATGCTAGGATGACGTAGACGCCAAAACAAAGCGGAGAGTCACCTCTTACATCAGAAAGGATCAGCGCGTTCCGATCGTTATCCGTTCTTTCATAATCCGTTGTTGAATTGTGATCGGCAGATATTTTTCCGGTTCGCGCCTCACTTTCTTTTACAGGAACGGCCCAAAACGATCTCCTAACACATGGATTTTCTGCTTCCTGATCACGTGACGTGTGGCGCACGCGGATGAAGATCGGCTTCAGCGTTGAGATGTTTGTTCTCTTGGTGCGGGGGCTCGTTCCGATGCCCAAACAGTAAAAAAATGCAAATGACGACATTGTGACGACATTGGCAGTGAACGGTTGGATTTAAAATGACGACTTTAGTCGTCAATGGCAGTGAATGAGTTAAACACCCTGTGTTCACATATGTGGACATCGACTTCTTGCACTACAATATTTTATTCTCTTTAACTTAGTTTTTATTTTTTAGAGACACTTGATATTAACTTTAAGTAAATTTTTTTTCTTTTTTTCAGTTTGTTTAAAAATGTTTAGTTTAATGTATTTAATAATTTTTGTTTCATGTTTATGAGAGTCAACTAACACTGGCTAGAATTGTTAAAGAAACGATGTGTTTTTACTGATAAACTCCGGAGATATCACTGAAATGTTGTGGAAAATGAATTAAATGATGCCCAGTTGTTGCATCGCATCGTACAGGAGCCCGTGAGGACAAAAAGCATTTACAGGTTTGCAATAAGGAGTTACAAAACTCTCAACATTCATGAAAGTTGTTGTTTTACACATTTACTTCTTCACTCGTTCACTTCATTGTGAACCAATCACAGCACTTTATCCGCTTTGTGGGCCGATCAGGGACCTCTATTCGTCTGGTGGGTGGGATGATGCAACAGAGTGGAACAAGATGGCAACAGCTCATTAGAAACGGCTTTTACATCAATTTAGGACTATTAGGCCTTGGGCTTAATTAGGATCAGTAGCAGATTGATGTATTTATGTTATTTTTTTTTTTTAAAAAAAGGATGTGTTTTCGCCTTCTTCAACAGCGAACCGCCTCGTTCACTGAAATTTGTTGTGTCGAGTACGTCACGTTGTTCATTGTCCTGTAGCATGTGGCGATCGTTTGAAAGACAATGGTAGAACCCGCCCCACCACCGAGAGCTGTCAATGAAGTGTATTCATGTAGCCTGTACTTATGTATGCTTGCCAGGCTACAAAAATACTGCTTGCTTGCAGTGATTTGACCAGGATGAATCATGAATAAAATAAATACACCAAAAAAAGGTGTCATAAGCACTGAAGTAATTAAGATTAACAGATTTGTCTTAATGTATGTCCACCCATGTGATTAGATCAGTAGATAAGTATTTTAAGGTTTGTTAGTTTTAGAGAAAAAAATCTAGAAACATCAGCTCATTACAGCTTTATAGTGATCCGTTAAGCGATCACATGAAAGGTCACCATGTAGTCGTGTTTGTGTGTGTGTGTTACCTGAGAATAACATGGACCGACTCCAGCCGTGACGTGATGTAGGCCTTGGTCACCTCTGGGGTGTATGTCTCCAGTAGGTGAGGCTCGGTGGCTTTGACGTAGGGCACGGACGCGGCCAGACGCTGCCACAGACTCAGCAGGTAGTGAACACTGTTTGGGGCGAACTCCCAGTGCTGGAAGACAGCGGGATATGTCACTATGTGACGCCCACCCAGTAGTCTGAGTTGGTTAGCGTAAAGATGACTCACCTGCAGGCTGGTGACGGTGAAATTGGCTATGAGGCGAATTACTTCAGGGTAGTTCTCTACCTTCACCAGCTCCCCCAGCTGGTAGTTACTCTTCAGCCTCGCCAGCAGACGACAGAACTCGTGGTAGTTGTTTGGATCTGGCAAACACTGCCGCACAAACACACACCTATCTCAACACAACACACGACCGGGACTGCAGGATTGCTTTTAGTTTGTGAGTGTTTTACCTGTGGGTTTGCTAATATCCTCTTAACGCCATCCACTAAATGTGAGAGGAACTTTGCACGCTCTGCGTTGTTGAAGAGGGACCTCCTAACAGAGGCTATCTGAACTAGACACGACAACACCTGCACAGGTACACCAGCAGCTTAGACTTGCTCTGGGAACGCCACACAAGTCTCACAAGTCTGAGTGCTACTTACCAACGGGGACAGGGACGGAGGGAGGGAATGGTATAAATTGAAAAACAGCTGTAGTGTGGAGGAATCGAGGAACGCTGCAGAGGAGATAAAAGGTGATGTGGAGGTTTACAGGTGTAAGCTTTTCAGTGCAAGAACACGTATGAATGCTCAGAGGTGGATACCTCACTGCACTTTAGTCCTTTTCTAAAAGGGCTTTGTGCAGAAAAAAGCCCATCCTTGTTTTCCGTTCACATACATTATTTATAAACAAAGCCTTCGATATCACATTTCTGTTCTGTACAAAGTTCTGCTCAGCAGGAAACAGTTGTCCATCAGAAAGTGTCTGCTAGGAACGTTTGTTTCAACATCTAAACCCAGAGTTCATCTCTGTTTGGGATTTTTCCAATCCAATCCGATTGTAAAGCACATTTAAAACAACACAATGAACCAGTGTTCTGTAGAATTATAAAAATGTATAAAACACAGAAAACAAAAACAATAAGAGAACCTCTGTGTTTAAAGAGATTTCAAAACAGGAAGTGAAGATGCCCGTCTGATGTTTAACTATCTGGGCAATGACTGAAAAAGTCTGATCTCCTCTGAGCATCAGTGAGGGCGCAACACGGAGCAGGTAAGAAGCCCCGCCAGCCAGAGGCAGAAGACACCCGTTTGTTGCCCCTCGTGATTAAAATTGTAAACCTGACAGCAGAAAACTGCAGATCCATAAGTGTTGGTGAACCAGCTGACAAGTTGTTTAAAACACAGAAAAACCAGACAAAGACCAGACAGAGGCTGATGGCAGCTACACACACCAGAACAACCAGCTACCTGATCTCCATGATGTAGGAATTTGAACGGTGCAGAGGTCGTCTGACGACTCGTCTGTGGAAGTTCCTATGAAGTCGAAGTTGAGGCAATTGTAGCTGAGTTTCAGGAGCTGCATCAGCAATCCGTGCTGAGATTCATCGTTCAAGTTTAGATTCTTCCCTGAAGCCTGAAGACAAAGAGACAAACTGTTAATGTGGGGTCTGATCAGAGCCTGACCTGTTAGGTTTGAGCCCAAACCCCAGTAGCAGCTTTTCTGACTCCTAAATTCTTCTTCTGGGTTTGGAGTCTTTGTTTAGGGGTGGACCCCTGCTCTGGTCCTGCTGTTTCTGTATGTTATCCCAAACACTGATAACACTGATGAGATTAGGACTGCACCAACAGCACATTTTGTGTTACCTTCTGCTGAAGAAGTTGTTAGGGATGTTGTCCTACTGTGGATTCGTTCAGGGCCAATCAGACGCCTCCTTGTTGGTTTTTAATCAGGTATTTAAATATGTTCAGGACTGATAACTCCAGAGAGCCCAATGCTGTTCCTCGGCACCCCAGTTCCTGTGTTTTTGACCTTGATCTATGCTGGTGACCTTTTGGTTCTGATCAGATCTCTGCAGACAGCAGGTAGGTGTAGCCAAGTCTCAAAGGTGTCTGTCAGGTCTAAGCTGATGGCAGCAATGGGCCGTCTCCAGGTCTGAAGGGAAGTGAGGATGGTCTCGTTCATCAGTTTTTTTTGTGTTTTTTTTTATCTAACTAAGAACAACAATGTGTCTGTCTTCCACATTGAAACCTGCACCTGGAGGAGACCTGGCTGATGTAGCACCCATGCTGACTGGTTCTCTATTGCCTCACCTCAGTAGAAGGTTGTTTTTCCCTGACTTGATGTGTTTGTCCTTTAAGAACTGATACTGTTTATGAAACAAAGGCTCACCATGTAGAACATATTTTTCTCATTTTGCTTTCTTCTATTGAGCTCCGGACGTCACGCGACTCTCAGAGAGTAGACGCCATGTTGGCAGGCAACAAATGTAAACAAATTGAACGGGATCGGCTTGGATTTTACTTCGTCGGAGTTTACTTCACACATTAAAACCGAAGAAATCGTTTTATATAGTCAGAAATAAAATAGACTAAACATCTCCGACCCTTACCGTGCCCCTGGGATACTTTTTTAAAACGCCAGAAGCTGTCGGAGCGGACTGCTTACCGGACCTGGCCGGGGAACCCCTTGGGATTCCCCCGGAGGAGCTGGCCCAAGTGGCTGGGGAGAGGGAAGTCAGGGCCTCTCGACGCTACTGCCCTCGCAACCCGACTCCGGATACGCGGATGAAAATGGATGAATGGGTGGACAAATAACATAGATTTACATGTAAGTAGTTTAAATAGAGTGCTGTGTTGTTTGAATGTATAAACTGAACGCCAAGAGAAATCACTAGTTTGATTTATTTCCGTGAATAAAATAAATATGTCAGGCAGGAGCGTCTCAGGATCTGTCTGAGATCTGTCTCGGTGAGACAGATAATAGCAACCCAAAGTGCTTTTTATGTGTGATCTGACAATTGATCAACCATTGCTTTAAAATGAAATACAGCTTAGCCGGTTAATTGCTGTGATCATAAAACACGTAAACGGCAGCACGCAGAACTCACGAGGCAACGTTTTACGTGATGTTTACTTGTTGCTATGAGTAATAAGACAGAAAAAGCCACACCAAAATAAGTTTAGGAAACCGGCGCTCCGGATCTTGGGGAATCCTGTAGATGAATCATTCCTTATGTCGTCCGCATTTGTTCTGCATCCTGGGGCACGACAGGAATCTACCATATTTCCTGTCTGATTGAGTTTTCTGACAACAACAAATAGTCCAGCTGCGGGCTTCTGCCTGCCAATTTGGCGCCGTTTCGATTTGAACTGTTGCATGCCGGGAGAAGTGACGTCAACTCCTATAGTTTAACTTCACAGCCTTTCCCCACAGCTGCCTAAAACTTTTGTACAGCATCCATTTACCATTTTCTTTCTTTGATATCGTTACTATACACCAGGCTTGTACAGGTTTATGTAAGTTAGACCAGGATGGTCAGGGAGAAGTGATGATGTAACTTCCAAACCTGCTTTAGGAGGTTACAGGACAGAGTGAAGATGTCAAAAAGGGAGGAGTCTCTGAACGAGGAGGCGATCTTCCTATGTTTGGTCAGAGGATGTGTTGTGTCGGCCTGAGGAAGAAGAGCACATGCTTTAATAGGAGTTATACAGCCGATGCGGCAGTAGGTTAGTGAAAACTGGTTGTGGACGTTGGAGGAAATTAAACTGACTTAGTCCAGTTTTCCATTTATGTTCCCATTCCCTGTAAATGCTCTGCCACTTAATTTCTTAAAATATGCATATATCTATGGAAGAAATACAGTCTGAATTTTAATTCTGTGAATTTATGTATTCAAAGTTTTTACTTCAAATGCACAGGCAAAGAATTCAACAGCAAAAAATCAGCAACAAACGAGGTGACCTCCTGGTGACCCAAGCCAAAGCAATCGTTGAATGAGTCAATGCCTTGTTGGCGTCACATGATCAGAGAAGCCTAATTTGATTGGCTAAAAGCCTCTCAACCCAATTGAGTGATGATTATTTGTATGAACAGTTGACATTGATATCAGAAATAGGTCGGATATCGGCCCAAAAACACCGCATTGGATTATATCAGACGGCATCAAAAATGTCCAATATTAGCAATTCGTTCAGATTCTAATTTAATTCCAGCAATTATATCCAGCAGCGCAAAGCCCACGTGATCAGAACAGTGCGTGTTAGCAAAGTAGCAAGGAACAAGAGCAATGTCGTATTTTTTGTTCAAGTCTGTGGCTGGAGGGTGGCTCATTGCAACATTTGCCATGCACAAGTTTCCCGTGGTGGAAAAGAACCAGGAATGTTTAATGCATCCAACCTCATTCATTGTTTGAAGCAGCATCACAAAACACTGCATGAAGATTTTCCGTGTGTGAAATTGAAACTTTGGACTTGTAGCAGTTTCATATGTGCCTGCCCTCACAAGTTCCTACCATTTGCTGACTGTAAAATATAACGGAATTGACCATGAATTAGTATTTTGTAGGGATGCTCCGATCCGATCATGTGATCAGAAATCTGGCCAGATCACGTGTTTTTGAAAGGATCGGAATCGGGAGAAATAAATTGGATTTAACATTTTAAAACAACAAACATGACTTGAAAATGAATCTGGAGATAGAAATTTTCAAATTGAATAAAAATGACAGTTTTAATTTCAATAAGTCCCTCTACACCATCAATGTGTGTTTCTTGTACGAAAACAACACAGTAAAGTCACACAATTTACGGCAGGCAAGGACTCAGACACCAAGCGCTGCTGTTAGCAAGCCTGCTAACACTGAGCTAACGTGTCTCCTCAGAACAGCTAAAGTATCTGCAGCTTGGTGGTATTTTAAACCAGACAGCGAAGGCAGAGCTACAGACACTTGTAATGTGTGCGTACTGAGCATTCAACATGCTGGACACAGCTCCATGATTCACTGCCTTCAAACAAGCTACTTTGCTGGAGTGCTACAGGTGTTATGCAGAGAAAAGTAACCCTGCCTGCTCCGTCACGTGAACACGGGTCACAGCTGCATAATGAGGGAGTAAACAACGCTGCTACTTTTAAGTATATTCACAATATAAACAAGTTTTTGATCGGTGTACTTCCTAAAAAATGTAAATAGGAATTTTTTCGTCTTATTTTAATGCTTTTCTGACAAGTATCGGATCAGGACTCGGTATCGGCAGATACACGTAATCGAATGACTTGGAATTGGACCGGGAGCAAAAAATAAATTAAAAAACGTGATCGCAACATCCCTAGTATTTTGCACTTTAAAAAATATCTTGTTTATTTATTCATTAAAAATATTTTTCTGAGTATTCTAATATATTATTTATTCTTTTATTCATTTGTTATATATTAGGTTTAAGGTTTACATTTATGCAACCAATGGTTAATAATTTTTTTTCCCATACTTACTATTGCTGGCTTTTGTTCTGTGATTGAGTAATACCACTTGATCAAGTCTTTCATACATTCCACACTAAAAAATTGTTAAAAGTGTGTATGATTTGTGCTGATATCATATGGATTGATATCGGTATCGGTCAATACTGATCGTATTGGAAGTGAAAAAGTTGCATCGGGACATTCCTAATGAACTGTATAAACCTTTCGTATTAAAATAAACTTCCCTTTTGGTTGGTTTAGGATCCTTTTTGTCTATTATTTTTCTATTCAGAAGCTTTGCTCTGTCTCAGGGAATTTGATCACTTAATTCACAGGTTGGTAAAAAGAAAAGATTTTAAACTCCCACTTTATTTCATAGTTATTAGATAAAATACAGCAATTGATGTATCCTAATAAACTCTGATTGAATCAGTTGTTTCTGGAGAGAACTTAAACTTTCTGATAAATGGTTCATGCATGTCCACTGAGTTTATAAAACTAGATCTCCATGGCGCAGCACACGAAACAGGAGACCACTGAGATGAACTACAACCTACCTGGTTGATCTCATTTGTTAGCTGGGACAGAATGGTGACGCCTATGATGCAGTGTTCCACGCTGTCCTGTAAAAAACACACAAACATCATCTAAAACATACAGGTGATCCAGTTTCCTCTGAAGTCAGCTCATGTGGTTCCACAACAGCAGCAGCTACATGCAGATACATTAATGTAATATTGGGCAACTAACACAACTTCCAAAAAAAAAAAAAAAAAAAACCAAAAAAAAAAAAAACACAATCGGATCAAGGTCTCAGGATAAGCATGGGTTACCTGGAGGAAGCGTGTTACATCAGCGATGACGTTTCTGAAGACATAGTCATCCTTCTGACAGTCAAACCAGCCCAGTTTGGTGATCCTGGCATACAGCTGGATCAAAGCCTGGGTCACAAACGCTGCTAACTTTGGCCTCGTCGCCAGATAATTCAGCACATAGTTCCCTGAACAACATGAACAATAACTTCATCAGTGCTTCAGATTCTTATTTCCATGTCTACGTCAGTCACCACAGCATTCAAATCTGTAACCTTCAAGTTCAAATGTCACAACAACATTTAAACTTTCACGGTTTAGGATAAAATAAGCAGCAGATTACAGAAATAAAAATATTCCCAGATAGTTTCACAGCACAAAAAGGAGCCTCATTGCTGTTTGTATCATTATAGCTTTCCTCATTGCTCTTCCAGCTGCAGTCCGGCATCCTTCCAGATCATCCCTGGACTTACAGCCACAGTGGAAACATTAAACTAATTAGCCCTGAACAGAGTGAAGCTAACACTAGCTTGACGCGTCTCGGTGTTCGGGTGGTCACACAGTTTCTGGTCAATCGTGTGATGAGAAAACTTACTAAAAGGTTGTTAAATGTAAAACGTGTTGGATGCTGGAAGCCACTCTTCTCCTTAGCTCACTGTAACCCCCCCCCCCCCCCATCTCTGTCTCGCCTTTCCCCTCCCCTCCAGACACAAACACACACGGATGCCTCTGAAGCTGCAGCAGCTAAATCAGTCTCTCCTGTGTAAATGCCACGTAAATGTAATTTAGTAACAATATCCTCGTTTTTTCTGCTACCTGGTTCTGTCTCAGCCTACTGGCAGAACTCTGTCCCTGGATACACACGGCGTTGGGGTACTACAGACCATCACTCAAGTGAAAGACAACAGAGTTTGCAACAGCACGCTCTGAATGATCGTGTCATATGAAACGACAGAAGTTTTAATGTTTTCAGTTCATAGCACAGCCCTATTTGCAGGGTGAGTTAAAAAAAACCATTTGTTAAAACAGTTTAGCTGGAGTTGATGTGAAAAGAAAAGATACTCACGAATGTCGATGCGTTGCTCAAGGGGTAACGGGTTGCTGGTCCGAGACACTAGTTTAGATAAACAGGTGGCAGCAAGCAGCTGAGAATATGAAGACTGATGAGAGCAAAGAGCAGTGTGTTAGTTCAAATACGGTCTTTAATTAAACTGCGTTGCAACATTAACACACCACTGTTAGTGAAATAACTGCAGCTCAACAAGAGACAACGTGCTCTATGTTGCTCTACAGCCTGAGATAAGTGGTCAGGATCAGATGTGACAACTTCTTACATCTCTAACTCCAACCGCCTAATAACAACCGGCTCAGATGTCCTCCATCTGAGACATATCTCCATCTCTTTAGGAATCTAGTTGTTGTTGTATTTACTATGACAAAAGAATATAAAGGAAGGTTAAAAATGTTTAGTTCTTATTAGTTTTTAAATCTCTGACATGTCTGAGAACATGGACAACCAGGACCAGGTGACATCCAGAGGTCTGTTGCAGCTGTGCTGTAACAATAAATACATTCAACTGAATTGTTGTAAATAGCAAAAGTTTTACTTGTTTTTTTTTTTTTTAATTTAGTTTCAAGTGATGGGCTCTACTCTGCTGGAACAGGGCTGCCACTAACAACTATAAGTAAAGCAATATTGTTTATATAATCCTTTATTTTACCAGGTTAAATCTCAATGAGATGTTTAATCTCATTTCCAAGAGTGACTTGGTCCAAGAAAGCAGCATAAAAAGTACAAAGAATTTTACAGACACAAAAATAAACAAAACACCATACCCAGAAGATAAAAACAAAACAATTCAAATTAATCCGATTCAGTGAGTAAGGCAGCTACATTCTCCCAGAGAGCCATTTTTACGGTCCTTCAAAAGTGACTTCAATCATTAAATGTATCGGTCTGAGTTCAGGTGCTGTGGCAGCCTGTTTTAAACAAAGTTGTTCAGTCAAGAAACCTAACCCTGACTCATCAGTCCTTTTAAATCTTAGATCCATTTCAAAGCTTATATTTAAATAATCTAGAAAGGAAAATATTTGTTTAGCTGATGTTTTATTTTTAATGAAATCAAAAGAAATACAATGTTTGAGTCTGGCTTGAAAGATCTTCACACCACAGAAACCAATATTTTATTAGCTACAGACTCAGGAGACTGCTCTGGAGATTATTTAGCTTTTACTCCTGACAGCAGCCTTTGACACAGAATTATCAACAATATCCAGGCTGGAGATCCGAGGGGTTAAAGTCGCTGCACTAGTCTGGCTCAGGTCTTGTTAGGGCTGTTCGATTATGGCAACAATGATAATCACGTTTATTTTGACTGAAATTGAGATCTCGATTATTTAAGAAGATTTTTGTAATAAACGCATTCACTGCTATTGACGACAAAAGTCGTTATTTCAAATCCAACCGTTCACTGCCAATGATGACCACCCCCCAAACCAGTCTCACAGCAATCAGGGGAAAGCTGTGTGTGTACTGAGTTTGTGTGTTTAGCACATCGCGGTGCGCATTTTCCCGTTCTTAGTGGCTCATCAGCCTGGGGGTACACAGTGTGTCACTCACTCCGGCTACTCCAAGAGGAAGCCGGCACAGAGAGTCGTATCTTTTGCGACCAACACATCACTACATTACTCCTTTTTTTGATGTCCGGAAGGTAGGTCCGGAGTGCAGGCTGAATGTTTTTCTAACCTGCAGGGAACGTTGATGATTGTTATCCCAAAAGTAGCTAAGGGCTATCATAGATGTTTCTAGGTGGTTGCTTAGTATTTTTAAGAGTCAACAAGGGAGTCTGAAAAGCTGTTAGAAATAGCAACAAAGTCGCCGAGTTGGCAACACCGTGGGAGGGGCGCTTGATTTGCAACTCGAAGCAGCACAAGATGGAGGAGCAAATAATCAACTTGTTTTGTTTTTATAATCATTCAAAACTCAGATCATTATCGGGGTTAAAATTCAATTAACTGAGCAGACCGAGGTCTTGTCTGTCAAGAGAATCAACTTCTTCCTCTGCCTCTTCACTAGTGGGGTTCCCCAAGGTTCTAGTATTGGACTACTTTAATTTCCTATTCATTTTAGTCATTTCCCCCACAGTTGTGTTTTTATGCTACATTCACACACACACGCAAAAAAAGCTAAGAAAGCAAAACCAACACACTGGACTTCAAAAAGCCTGCAGCTCCTAATGCAGAAACAGTGTTAATCAACTAAAGGCGGCCCCAGGTTCATGTCCTAAAGTTTCCTAAAACATTATAATGCACTTAAAAGTATGTCAAACAGATGTCCTCCAACTTTAGAGTGAACTTAGCAGCTTTTTTCTTCTTTGCAGGTATCCACTGAGCTAGCGCTGCTGTAGTGATATTACTAACAGGGCTGATGTAAGTAGTACAGACCAGTGGTATGACCTAATTATTACACCTGTCTGTAAGAGTCATTACCTCCACACCCTGACCACGAAACAGAAACCTCTTTATTCACTTTTAACAGGACGGAAATGAGCCCGCTTTGTAATAAAAGTGATTCTTTTTAAAATGTTTATCCCTGAAACTTCAGCGAGTCTCAGACTCCTCATTTTGGCATTGAGAGAAGACAAAAAATAAAACAAACGAATGAAACAGAGCTCAGTGAAATATTGACCACAGAACTGATGTACTATTAATAGTTTAGTAATACTTTAACTAAGATTAAAGAATAACACTCACACTGCCTCTCTCCAGCAGCAGCTGGCACTTGCTGAGACAGTCAGGGCTGTTGGTGAACTCCACCAAAGCTTTCTCTGCCTGGAGTCGGACGGCGGTGTCAGTGGTCTCGTACAGCTGCTTACACAGGATCTCCAGCTGGGCAAGGCCCTAAATAAACACAGAAAATATGGGCTTGTCAGGAGCTGAGGACACAAGATGCAAAGACAATCAAAGATTCCAAGATTCTACAACAGAACCAGAAGACATCATTCACAAACATCTCTGTTTGTACGGTAGTGGTGGGGACGACTTAACGACAAATAATGTTACTTTGACCACGGCAGAAACTACTGAACTTTGCTCCAACTGTAACCAAAACAGATTTTAGGCTTTTTCCTTATATTAAAACAAGACGTTGCTGTTAGATAAAGATGCTCATCTGTTCTCCGACTGCTCTGAGTCAAGAACAGACTGTACAACATTAATGATATCAAATTCCACTAATGTGGCAGGGAGGCATGCAAAACGCTGAGTCACGCTCAGTCACAGAGATGCCGGTCTCTGATAAAATTCAAAATGGTGGGGCGCTCATTTTGGACATACTAGCGACCGAGATGGAGTTCTGGATGATAATATCCAAAAAGCGATGTGTTTGCTGCTCGCACAAGTAAGTGAGGACCCTACAGCACTGCAGGTTCTGGTAGGCAGGTGTGTGCGGGAGTTGCATCATGTGTAGTAACTCTGCAGACCTCTGATAAGAGCTCAGCCCAAACCCTGCCTGCTCATGTGCCATGTGCACCAGAAGATGAGCACAGCCACACTTAAATTTATACTGATAAAGTTTTTCTTGAATGAATATTTGGAGAGCAACATCAAGTGTTTTCCTTCACCAACTTCTCAGAACAGGATATTCAGTCATTTCTGTGCCAGCTACAGAGAAAGACTGATTGATGTTGGAAATGACCTCGCCAACTTGACCTACTGTCATGTTAGCAGCTCTAAGTGTGGTCAAAGACACCAACATGAACAGCAAAAATGGTTTCTTGATGCAATCAATAGGCCAGACTGAGCACTAAGCCTCAGGTTTACTGGGGCACTAATGGTTCAACAAGACTGCTAGGTCAGCAATGTATTTTAATTGATCACAGCTTCATGCGTACCTCAGTTTTGGGGCCTTGGTTTGGTATGTGTTCAACACAACAACAAAAAAAACCAGAGTGCTTAAACTCACTGGTCAGTATATTAGCCTGTTTAATCACTTGTTAACACAAAATGTAGTAACACTTTACAATTTGGATCCCTTTAATTACTTTATTTAGTGCAATATTAAGCATTAATAAACTATTAATGTATTAACTACCATATTTTCACGACCATAGGGTGCACCGTGTTATAGGGCGCAGCTTCAGTTACGGGTGTCTTTTTGGTATTTAACACATACAAATGGCGCACCGGGTTATAGGGCGCGAGCACGGTAAAACATACCGGTAAAACACCTGTGCGGGCTCGGGACTCGGAACATATCAGTGCAAACCAGACATTGTGAAAATTATAAACAGCCAAACGCATGATTCACTTTACTGGTCTAGTCCTGGTTCAGACCTGGTTTAAAGCGCACATGCACTTCCTCATTGCGTGCGCTGACGGCTCGTGCTCTTCTTATGCGCTGATGCGCTGTGTTGAAGTTCAGAATGTGTTTACCGGTAGTTGGTGGATTTTACCACATAAACATTCCTCATGAACAAAATCACATGTGTGTTATTAATAGGCCTAAGAAAATAGTGTGATTTGAATTGTGTTTTATTAAAAAAGGCGGCGGGAGCAAATATGAGTTCGGTTGTGCCACGCCCCTTGTCTTCTACTACGTTCGCGTCTCACAACAACACAATAGGCGCACCGCACCATAGGGCGCGGCGTACATTTTGGAGAAAATTTAAGACTTTTAAGTGCGCCTTATGGTCGTGAAAATACGGTACTTAACCATTTCATGTAATGCATTACTAAGCAGACCCCCTCCCTGGCCCTTTGACCTTACCTCAAGGATACTTAACAGTTAACAATAATATTAACGTTATTAAAGGGGCCATTTATTTATTAATGCTTAATAATGCACTAAGTAACTTATTAAAGAGACCCTTAATGTAAAGTGTTTCCCAAAAAGTTAATCAGCCAACTACACGGCAGCTATTCTATAGGAATGTAGGCATCTAGACAAGGGATGGAGAGATTCGCCAATCCGAACCGGTGATTTGTATGGTAAATGTACTGTATCAATGATTAGCGCATCAAGGTATGAATCGAATTGTCCTCAGTGGTGGGGATTTACATCCCTAATCTAGACATGGTGAAGATGATCAGCTTAAGTTCAAACTGAGAACCAGAATGGGGAAGAAACTTAAAAATAGTGATTTTGGTGATTGTAAATGTGGCAGGCATGCTGGTGCTAGACGAGCTGTTCTGCGCATTTCCAATTGCTCTACTGGGATTTCCACCCACAACCATCTCTAAGCCCATTATGACCATAATGGACCCCTACCCCTCTTCTGATGGCTTCTTCCAGCAGGATAATGCACCACGTAACAAAGTTCAAATAATCTCAAACCAGTTTCTCAAAACAAGTTCACCTGACTCCAGGGGTCTCCACAGTTATTACCTCTATATCCAGATTTACAGCGGATACAGAAAGTATTCAAACCCCGGTCAATTTTTCACTCTGTTATATTGCAGCCATTTGCTAAAATCAATTAAATAAATTTTTCCTCATTAATGTACACACAGCACCCCATATTGACAAACACAGATTTTTATAAATGTCTGCAGATTTATGAAAACAGACAAACTGAAATATCACATGGTCCTAAGTTTTCAGACTCTTTGTTGTGACACTTATGTTTATATCAGGTGCTTTCCATTTCTTCTGATCAACCTTGAGATGGTCCTACACCTTCATTGGAGTCCAGCTGTGTGTGATTATACTGACTGTACCTGATTAGGAAAGCCACACACCTGTCTATATAAGACCTCACAGCTCACAGTGCATGTCAAAGCAAATGAGAATCATGAGGTCAAAGAAACTGTCTGAGGAGCTCAGAGACAGAATTGTGACAAGGCAAAGATCTGGCCAAGGTTACAAAAACATCTCTGCTGCACTTAAGGTTCCTAAGAGCACAGTGGCCTCCATAATCCTCAAGTAGAAGAAGTTTGGGACGACCAGAACCCTTCCTAGAGCAGGCTGTCCAGCCAAACTGAGCTAATCAGCATCAGCACTGCCACCGACAAATGCTGTTCAGAATGACTTTCACCTTTTGTAAACATTTCCTGGTGCTTTGTGGAAGGAATACAGATTCAAACATGAGTCTGATGAACACACAGAGCTCTGCTGAGCTGCTGATGTCCACCTCATATCTGAACACTGGTCACGTGCTGATAATGTCCTATCTAAACAGTGATGTGTTTCTGATTCCCGATCAAATGTGAGGAGACATGTTCTAAGCTGACATCAAGTATCGAACCAGAGTCCTGATCACAGCCATTTTCCTTCTAATATCGGTCATTGATGTGGGTTAACACCAGCTATTGCTATCCTCTAATGAAAGTGAACTGATTGTAATATTTTTACTATTTTAATGAAGCCTGTGCTTTGAAAAAAGCTAAATCTGCAAATATGTGAAAGAGCACCTGGCTGCAGACCTCCACTGTCAGGCTGCTTCCGGTGGAGGCTCCACTGTCAGGACGACCGCCACTGTCAGGACGGTCAGGGCGGGAAATGCACGGGATACATTACAAAATAAAACAGCAAACATACAGGGAGTGCAGAATTATTAGGCAAATGAGTATTTTGTCCACATCATCCTCTTCATGCATGTTGTCTTACTCCAAGCTGTATAGGCTTGAAAGCCTACTACCAATTAAGCATATTAGGTGATGTGCATCTCTGTAGTGAGAAGGGGTGTGGTCTAATGACATCAACACCCTATATCAGGTGTGCATAATTATTAGGCAACTTCCTTTCCTTTGGCAAATTGGGTTAAAAGAAGGACTTGACAGGCTCAGAAAGGTCAAAATAGTGAGATATCTTGCAGAGGGATGCAGCAGTCTTAAAATTGCAAAGCTTCTGAAGCGTGATCATCGAACAATCAAACGTTTCATTCAAAATAGTCAACAGGGTCGCAAGAAGCGTGTGGACAAACCAAGGCGCAAAATAACTGCCCATGAACTGAGAAAAGTCAAGCGTGCAGCTGCCAAGATGCCACTTGCCACCAGTTTGGCCACATTTCAGAGCTGCAACATCACTGGAGTGCCCAAAAACACAAGGTGTTCAATACTCAGAGACACGGCCAAGGTAAGAAAGGCTGAAAGACGACCACCACTGAACAAGACACACAAGCTGAAACGTCAAGACTGGGCCAAGAAATATCTCAAGACTGATTTTTCTAAGGTTTTATGGACTGATGAAATGAGAGTGAGTCTTAATGGGCCAGAAGGATGGGCGCGTGGAAGGATTGGTAAAGGGCAGAGAGCTCCAGTCCGACTCAGATGCCAGCAAGGTGGAGGTGGAGTACTGGTTTGGGCTGGTATCATGAACGATGAGCTTGTGGGGCCTTTTCGGGTTGAGGATGGAGTCAAGCTCTCCCAGTCCTACTGCCAGTTTCTGGAAGACACCTTCTTCAAGCAGTGGTCCAGGAAGAAGTCAGCATCCTTCAAGAAAAACATGATTTTCATGCAGGACAATGCTCAATCACACACGTCCAAGTACTCCACAGCATGGCTGGCAAGAAAGGATATAAAAGAAGAAAAACTAATGACATGGCCTCCTTGTTCACCTGATCTGAACCCCATTGAGAACCTGTGGTCCATCATCAAATGTGAGATTTACAAGGAGGGAAAACAGTACACCTCTCTGAACAGTGTCTGGGAGGCTGTGGTTGCTGCTGCACGCAATGTTGATGGTGAACAGATCAAAACACTGACAGAATCCATGGATGGCAGGCTTTTGAGTGTCCTTGCAAAGAAAGGTGGCTATATTGGTCGCTGATTTGTTTTTGTATTGTTTTTTAATGTCAGAAATGTATATGTGTGAATGTGGAGATGTTATATTGGTTTCACTGGTAAAAATAAATAAATGAAATGGGTATTTATTTGTTTTTGTTAAGTTGCTTAATAATTAT